AGCAGTACCAAAAGGCAGCCCCAGCATCCGCAGACCCCGGAATCCACCTCACAAACCAGCATGCAGGGAAGTCCCCCCAAAAAAGAACAGAAACACCCCCAAAAGCAGCCCGAGTCTCCACAGACCCCGGGGCAGCCCGAGCATCCGCAGACCCCGGGGTCTACCTCAGAGACCAGCATACAGGCAAGTCCCCAAACAAAAAAAAGAACCGCTACCAAAAGGCAGCCCGAATATCCGCAGACCCCGCAGTCTGCCTCAGAGGCCGACATACCGGAAAGTCCAAAAAAAGGCAAAGGAACGCTGCCCAAAACGGAAACAAGAGCCTACCAAAGCCAGCCAAAGCATCCACAGACCCCGAAGGGACAGTGACCCCCCGGGGGCGGCGGCACCGGGCGGCAGCCCTTAAATATTTGACCCATGGACTTGGCCCAGGCCCCCTGTGGACTCGGCGAGCCTTGCCAGAGACTCGTTGGAACTCTGCGTCGAAGACCTCCCGCTGGGCCTGGCTCACGACCTTTCGACCTTTTCAAAGGCTGGGAATTTGGATGACGAAAATCTTTAGATAAAAAATGTCCCCATTCTTTAGATGGTGGTTTGAACCTCAGGGTATGTATATATATATGTATATATGATTAAGACTATATTAAAATGGCCATGGTGTCAAAAACCCAATCGTACCCCTAGTGAACATCCGATTCAACCCCCACTAAAATCCGCCGACGCCAGTCCAGCATGTAGATGGCAGTCCGCAACTTGGTCTTCCTTCGGAATCTCTTATCAAAGCCGAAGGCTTTCCGGACTGCTACTTTTGGGCATGCTGTGCCCGGACGCGCAGGATCTGCATCCCCGGCATCATCAGGAGTATCTTGTTGCCATGAATTTGTCTCTTTTTTTTGCAGATACTGGTGGCGTTTTGCTGTTTCAAGCGATCTTGGAATTGGCTTGTTAGGGGTTTGGGTGGGGCCAAGTGCAGTGACACTTTGAGGAACTAGATTTGCCAAAATGAGTGTTGTTTTGCAATTCCCCACCTGTACGGAGCAGTTACTGCGAAACATCCCCTGCATTATTGTGCGTTTGGAAGTGAGGGGGGTTGCTAGAATCTGTTTTTGATGGTTTATTTTAGGAAATATCGCAAAACCCTGTTTTTTTGGACTTGTTTGTGGCTAGCCGGCTGCATTCCCAGCATTCCCGACATGTCTGGTATTTTCTGTGTTTGATCAATTTTGCGTGTCTGTAAGTCTTAAACAATTGGATGCGAACATTGGGTGTGTTTCTATGTTGTGTGGTTGCATCCCTTGCATTTCCAGCATCCTTAGCATCTGGGACATCCCAGCTCATTAATAGGGGACTGTCCACCGGCGTCGGCGGATCGCGTAGCGATTTCAATAGGTTCCAAATGGGTGGTGCACATACCTTGAAAATAGTATCATTGGTTTTGACCCACAGCCACATTGGGGTTCAATATTCCCTTCCCCGCCCAAATTGAAAACTTTTTCCCGGGAGAAGCGATCCTTTTCTGTTGGTCTCCTGGATGTCGTCCCATGAGGAGCTTCTGAACAATTACCCAGCTAGCATGATCTCCTTCAGCAAGTGCGTCGGGGATGGCGGCTCGAAGATGGCAAGAACTTGGATGATCTGAGTGAATTGTAATATATTACCAACCTGAAATAAGGTGGTTGGGGGGCTATTCCCCACATAAACCACAATTTAGGGTGAGGTCGTGTGAGGTTGTTATGATTCACCCAGAATGATGCTTTACGATGTCATCACCATGGGGGCGGGTGGAAGCAAAGAGCAACGTGGCATGCGACCTCCTCCCAGTGCAGGATGCTGCTCAGCACGAATGCTTTTGCGCTGATTGGAGAGAACCTGAAGCCGCCTCCTCGTCCTGTTTACCCCCCGCACCAAGGTGAAGGGAAAGGGGATGGCTTAACCAAACATGGAGAATTGTGCCATCTCACGCCCAACTGCAATTAACCCTCCTGGCTTCCTACAAAGGCCTGACGCCGTGAAATTGCTTGGGTCTTCGTTTGGGGAAACGGGACAAGGGGGAATGCAGTGGATGGAAGAAAACGTCGCAAATGGTTGATCACAGTTTGTCAACCAGCATTAGGACTTCATTCCCCCGGATGAATCAACCCTTGCTATCAATAAAGGGGTGCCGTTCAACATCTGCCAGAGTCTGGCTGCAAAACCGAATTGGCGCCAACCTGGCTTGCCGGGCAAGCAGGGAAGGGCAAAGAAAGCATGTGTTTACCATGGCTCCTAGGTTGGTTTCTGGGGAATCCCAGCCAGGGAACCCTCCCGTCCGGTGCCTGTCGCAGATTCGCTAGATACCTCAGGCGAGAACCCAGGACTCAGAAACTTCTAGGGTGATTCCCCATTCGTTTCAACCATCGTTCTACTCTTTAAAAACTGGCTGTTTTTTCTGGGTTGTTGATGGTTTCCTGAAAAGAAGGATCCCTGGAAAGAATGGGGAAGGTGCCCCTAGAAAACTGCTTGATTAAAATCCTCCCAGCTAACATGGAAGTTACCAGGTACCCCCTCAAAGGTCCCTGACCTTCCTCCCATGCGTCCGAGCTGACAAGGAATCGGATTCCGGGAGGAAAGGGGTACCCCAGCACTTTTGGGGGAACCTCGTTTCCCCCCCCCATCAGAAAGCCAGGTTGATTCATGGTCAACATGTGGTCGGAGTTCGACCATCTGCGAAGGGGCTTGCTTTGGCGTGAAGGGAAAGAACGCAAAAACAAAAACCAAACGTCGCCCCAAACAACCCCACAAGTAACTTGTGGGACCTGGACTGAACATGCAAGAATTCAAAACCGAAAGGTGAAAAGGTCGAAGAAGGTTTGGGCAAGTTACTTTTGGTTGCATCAATAAATGCATGAGAGAACAGGGATGAATGTTGACAATTCACTGTCAGCAAGCGAAATGTGGGATGTCCTGATGTTGCACAGTGGTGCACCTTATTTAATCAATGCACAGATCATGTGATCCTATTGGCGACCACAAGAAGGACGGTCAAGGAAGCACGTACGAAACGCATGGAGTCGAATCTGACAGTCCGAGGTGTCAACATGAAACCAAGAAAACATAGCCGTTTGATTTTCGCGTCACTTCTGCTTTTCAAGAATGTGCATGATGGCACACAAACACAAGGCCATATGGCCCGACAATGAGCAGCGAAAAGAAGTGATCACCGAAGCTTGATGAAGTGGGCGTCGAGGTCCCCGAGTTGCCCAGCCTTGCCTGCAAAGAGAAACATGAAACTACAGCAACTGCAAATAGACAACAAGGCATGAAACAGGGATGGATGAATCCCCAACTGGTTGAAAAAGCACTTACCAACTGGTCCGAAGATTTTAGTCCACAGGAACGGACATCCAGGCACCGTCCCCCATCCACTTTAGCAGAACTTTGATTTCGGAGAAGTCAGGCACAAAACGAGACTGGGACTTGAGGAGTTCTGGGGGGCGGCACTTTGGGGACCTGAATAGTGGGTCTTGTGCGGGCAGTGCGTAAAGCCAATGTTGTGAGCCATTTGTGTTTAACTGTTGTTCACTCATGCGGTTTTTTGTTTTACAAATAAGCAAGCCCAAGGGCTTTTACTTAGAACAAACATTGATGCTCTTTGGCTCCCTGCTTTTAAAGGGCATTTTACTTTGCTGGGCTCGGAGCTAAAAGTTTGACTTTTAGTGGGTTGAATGAAAACCCGAACTGAACACTAAAAGGCCAAAACGCCCAGGAACCGGATGTCTCGGAGCTACCAAGTTTGGTATGCCTGGCTCTTTGCGTCCGATGTCCATGGCGAAACTTCCCGCCCAAAGCTAAGGAGGCCGCTTCTCAATGCGGCCGAGACCGACATGGGCATAGCCTAAGGGAGCGCCAAACGTGTGACGCGCTTTTCTTCTTTCGAAAGTGAAGCAAAGTGGGATGCCCCAACATGGATTTCGGTGGTCCTTCTGTTTCCCTTTGACACAAACCAAAAAGGGGTACGCTCCAAAAAAAAGAAAAAGCCACCCAGCCACCCAGCCACCCAGGTGGATTCGAACAAATGGGTTCTTTTCGGATGCAAACACAGAATTGGCGCAAATGGGAACTCAAGGGTTTGAGGAAGGCTCTAAAAGAGTTAACACCCGCCCCACTAAGCCTTAAAATGGGTTGTGAAAACCAATGCCAATCTTGCAAAAATCCAACACCTGAAAGATGTCGGATCCCAGAATAAAGGACTTGTGGATCAAGGACCTCTGGTGGAAAGCTCATTCCGCTTGTAGAATCCACGTCGCCCAGCTGGTTTCGACTGCCGGCGTTCCTGCCATGGTCGGACCACCCATCTGCCAGCAGCAACTGCCCAGCCGCCAAGATGTCCCAAACCTGTGCCCTGGCTGCCAGCAGCTCGCTTTGTGAGGGCATCCCCCGCACTGCCGCTCAGCTTTCTCCATGCGCCGCCCAGCTCCTCAAACTCTCTTTTGGGGTTGGGTGCAAACAGGGATATTCAAACGGAGCACCGAGATCCATTTGGGGTAGTTCTAACGGAAGACGAACCCATGCTTGTGGGACCATATGGCTTTGTCTTTTGAGGGACTCCCCCCAAAAAAGAAAACACGTAAAATAACGTGTATGGCGGTTTATGCAAGCCGCGTGCGTTGGACATGAGGACCCAAGGATCGCGCCGTGGAAGTGTGGAAGGGAGCGATCCCCGATTTCCAGACCGAGAAGGACCGCTGAAAAGGCCGGGGCAGACCCAAGGGTCAGTCAGTGCAGAAGCTTACCTTCTGAAGAAGGCAAGGCCCTGCTTTTCGGAACCTGGCTTGATCAACAAATATTCCTTGGAAGAACAAAAGCCACCATGAGTTTCCAGATGGGAAAAGGCATAAAGCCGTGGTCATTTGAGTCATGGTGCCAGCAGGCTCCTCCAGGTAGGCAGAAGTCAGGGGTTTCCCTGACATCAGCCGCTGGGCTCAAGTCTACGAGGTCAAAAATGGAACCCTGGCCAATGTTCACGGCTTGAACTGAGCCTTCAGCACCCGCTTAGCGAGGTTTTTCACGAAGGATCCGTGACCCCTTGAAACATCACAACTCCTTGAAAAGAACCCCCTTTTGTTTGGGCATTTTTGGGAGACCAAACAAAACCGACCAGTTTGGAGGTTCCCCAATTCCTCATCCCCTAACGGCCATGACCCCTCCAATGCAGACCCCCTCAAGCCCTCCAATGGATCACCCCGACCTCGAGGGCCCTCAACAACCCATTTGGAGCCCAAAAACCGTCGAATCGGACCCTTTGGGTCTTGGCCTTTCTCACCATCGCCGAGCCATCTTGCCATCTCCATCGGTTCTTTCGGCCGCGTACCGAGTACCGAGGCGCGCGCAGGCTGCCATCCTCAGGAACAATTCCGTTGGCTTCTGACTTGCGCTGGGAAAAAAGCCCGAACCGGCATTGACGTGGACCCTGGCCCCTTTAACCCTTCAACACATCTGCATTATTTACCCTGCAAATTTGACATAAGGAGCCCCAAATGAACAATCTTCATCACGGAGCTTGATTTTTCCCCAGGTGAGCTCGTTATAAGTTGCCCAGAAGGCATCATCCAGGCACCAACATGGTTAAAGTAGCTAGTAAATAGGCAGGCGCTTCGCTAAAGAAAACAAGAAGACTGAGTCTTCCAAATATTCCTTCAGGTTCCGACGTTCGTGATGTTGTGCGGCTCTCCAACCCTTGGTATGGTAGCAAAACAACTATCATGTGTTTCTTAAAAGGAAAACTATATTATTAATATTAGTAACTATTATTAGTAATTATTAGTTGTTATTATTATTATTATTATTAGTAGTAGTAGTATTATTTGCAGCCCCTACTAAACATCAACAGAACCAATCACCTAGCAACCTCCAACAACCAACAGTAAAGGACAATAATCCTTGACTTATGGGAGGTAAGCTGAGGTCAGGAGAATGAGGAACATACAGGGTAAGTTTGGGACGCTTGGGACACATATGGGTTTGTTTTGGAGGCCCCCCCAAACGACTGGTGAGATTACTGTTGGCTTCCCTTTGAAACTCGCCGAAAACGGGTACCCCCCGCTAAAAGAAGAAAAAGACAGGCCAATAGGAACCAAACGTCACAAGATTCTCCAGATACTCAAGCCCCAAGCTCATGTTTGTTACTGCTTGCTCAGATTGCTTCGGCTTGAAGCCCATGGGGGATTACTTGCACAGAAAAAAAGACAGATGTGCAGAATCTATTCCGTATATATATATATATTATACACACTATACGCGCATGGTGTGTCTCAAAATGATAGAACCCCCCCCCCCAAAGTGCAACGGTGTCAATTCGGTTTCCCTTCAAAATCCAAAGGGGTTCCCCCAAAATGAAAGCCAGAGCCATATCCAAATATAAGGGTGTATAAGGGTGTGTGTGCCCCTGCAAGAACCTCCCATAGGATGGTTTTGGACTCGTATAATAATAATAATAACAATAAACATTTATGTCTGTATAAAACACGTTTGGAGGAGACCCCAGCCCCAACTCAGCGGTGTGCGTTTCTTGGCCAAGGCACAACCTCACGGCGCTCTCCCGGACTTCCGCGGCAGGGTTGCTGAACCACTCCTCATCCGCGCGGCTCGTCGCTTTGGTCTTGGACCCCAAGACCAGGGCAAAGGCACCCCGTGTTCAACGTTTCATACCAGCGGAATCAGGAATGACAGGAAATTGGCTTCACACACGCAACAGGATGTAGAATTTGCCTGTTTAACTACTTTCTTGGAACATTGGAAAAAGTTGGTTGACGTTGGAAGGGGAGCAACAATTCTCAAATTTTAGCAGTTCAGTGGTTGGATTTCAACCACGAAAAAACACAATAAGCAAACATGTGAAACGTTTCTCAACAACAACCATGAAGGGGGGGTCGTCTCCAAAGCATGTTCTGGTTTAGGGCAGGCTACATACTGTGGAGGGGCGAAATCCATTTCGCACCACAGTTCAGAAACCTTGGAAGGATGATTCCCCGGTAAGTGCCAACAAACGTTATGATCTCCCGCGGCTTCAAAGTGGTGCGAACCGATTCAACCCACCCACCCCGAAAAAAAAAATGGCCAGGCGGTTTCCGATGAGTTCCCCTATCAAACCAACCAAAAAGGGTGCCCCTCCAAAACGACGCACCCACATAGTGGGTGCAACCCTTCTTGTTCACGGCACCGCATTCAAAAAACAAAAGCAATCACATGACATATAGAGTTTTCACCTGGATTGAAACAGAATCTTTTACTAGGGGACAAATATCATGTTACTCAGTTTGTCCAGACGAAGAAGCAAATGAAGGCCTGGACGACGGCAACCCTTGTTCAACGTGTCATACCGCAATCATAAATTACAGGAAGTTGGCTTCACAATCAGCAAAGGATGTAGAATTTGCCTGTTTAACTACTTTCTTGCAAATCCCGATCTGATTAATCCCTACTGTGCATGGACCAAATCCGATTCGCCGATCGGCGGTTGGGGTTGGTGGTTTGTCAATCAATGTTCAGACCGGGCTTTATCGATCCCGAGTGGTGCGAAGTGGACTTCGTCCACCCTGAAAGTCCCGACTGTTTTTGGGCCCTCCAAATGGGTTGTTGTTGAGGGCCCTTAAGGGGTCGGGGTTCTCCATTGGAGGGTCCGGGGGCCTGCATTGGAGGGGTCATGATCCTTAGGGCATGCTATTCTTGTCAAAGATACGGCTGATTGAAATGAGGTCAAACTTACTGGTCTAGCAAATTGATTTGGGGCCCGGACGCGGGGGACTACATTTCTCACCAAAACCAGGGGGACGATTTTCGAATTTCCCCGTGTCTCAAGAGGGCTCTCATGAGCAAGTCTCGTTCGCAGAGAGCATGCAGCTCACAACTGGCCCAATATCGTGCCCCATTCGACTTAGGCACCCGACGAATTCTCACTTTAGTGACTTGTTGGGACGATGATTCTAGTTGCAAAGAAAAAGTTCAGACGTGTTTTGGCCAATCCACTCAGGAAGTGAGAAGTGGCTATGTAGGTGTCTCACAACAGAGCCCTAAGCTGCCCATCTCTGTCCAAAACTAAACCGCTTCAGGCAAAACCACCGCTGGAACTTCCACTTAAGAATTCCTTCTGCAATCAATTACGATGATGGTTGTCCGGCAAAGGGGGCTCGGAGATGGAATCCAAGGGTAAATCTTCAACGTCATGTAGTTCAGTTGCTCCAAACGACCGGAAACGACCTGTTGGTTTTCTCATTTGGCTGTGGGTCAAAACCAATGGGATCCCATTTTGGGGTAGGTGAATTCACCACCCATTTTAGAACCTATTTTAGTGGTTGGATTGAATGGGATGTTCACTGGGGGCTAACCGATTTGGCTTTTGACCCATAGCCATTTGGTTTTCTATGTTTCGTCCAGGTCCCAAAGGCTTCGCCTGGTTCCAGGTCCTCTGGGCTTTTGGAGGTCAAGGGAATGGAGGCCGACTCTTCGCTAGGAACCAAAATCCCATGTTGGGGGGGCTCAATACTCATACCCAAAAGGGGGGGTTGGCGCAAATATGGCCTTTCTGAACCCTGGGAATCTGAAACATGGAAGTGATATGGATGTCTCTTCTTTAGGGCACATACATCGTTTTGTCCTTTTGGCTCCTTTGTAAAGCAAATCCATTCAAACACCCGAAATCAAATCCTTTCAAAAAAATGCAAGACCGGAAGGGGCCCCAGCCGCTCCGAAAACCCCCCCTTCGGCACGCGTCCAGAAACCCCCGAGGCCGAGGTCGCGGCCATGGCCAGCTGCGCCGCGGGGTCCAGCGCCACGCCCTCGCGCTCCGGCGGCACGCCGAACTGGCGACGACGAAGCTGGGGCCATGCTCCGTTTAAACAGGCATTACGTGAAAAACACCTGAACATTGCCACTTGTAAATGGTGGTTTCCCTTTGCAACTTTATTTGGGTGTTGAAGCAGCATGTTTCAAATGGTTGCAACATGTATCTTTGAAGGAGTCCTTTCAAAGGGAACGTTTTGCCCCAACGTCAGGTGGGAGGGGCAGGGTGTGGGGGGTTACATTTCTGGTGCAACGGGAACGGGACTCGACTCGGAAGGGACCCACACCCTTCCGAACGCCAAAGCAATTCGTTGGCTTCCTACTGTCATTTCCTTTCACAGACCCACCGTGGCGCGAGTCGTTTTTGTTTTTTGGCAGCAGAAAAACAGGTGAGGTATGTTAGGTGTGTTTGCTTCTCGCAGTATGTTTGTTTGATTTGGCTCTCTACAGGCAACCAAACTTTTTTGGACTCGACGCGGTGAAACTTCAGTGTCGGTGAAGGCAACCGCCCGAGAAATAAATAAAGAACAAGAGCCCAGCGAAACTGGGATCAGCTGGGCTTTGCTTTTACAGCAACGTGTGAGTGTACAAGCATTTTCAACAGGTTTAGTAAGGCAACATTTAGTGCACAAGCAATCGCTGGTGCAACATTTAGAGCACAAGCATGTTCAAAAGGTTGACCATCCTTTTTCGCATGAACCTGACGTTTGGGCTTTGGGGTCCTGATTTGGACCATTTTCCTTTAAAAGGAACATTTCCCGAACGTCAGGTTCCATGTTACTTGGTGGAAGGGGCAGGGGGTGGGATTGGCAACAAACAACATACTTTTTGTTTACCACTAAAAATTGGTCCAGACCCACAAAGTGACTAAAGTCCAGGAACCCGGGCAGTGAGAAAGTCGGAACAGTCGGAAAGGGTGGTGTTTGTTGGGCTACCTTCCCTTCATTGGCGGAAAAGCCACCTGGAAAAAACGAGAGAATATGTAGTGAAAGATCCGCTTTAAACCCAACAAGGAAAAACATATCTTAAGCAACATCGTGCAGTTGTTTTGAATTGGCCCTGCAATTTAAAGAGAAACCAACTTAAATCCAGAGGGCGCCTCATTAAAATTACAATCAGTGTTTACAACCACTAGGTATAAACTTTAAACCCCCAGCTAGGTTTATAACCCCCATTTCTAACCAAACGGAGGTGGCCATTATGGGCGGAGAATGAATGTTGGACGTCCGTTCAGCTCGTGTTGGGTGTTACGTCAAAAGAGGACCTGGGTGGCTTGTCTTTGTGTAGACCCAAAACAAAAATGGAGTTCGGTGTTCAACCATAGGTGTCCTTTTAGGGGAAATAGATGGCCCTGGTAGATGATTGAACCACCAGGTAAACCAGGGCCAACTATTTGTCTACCAAAACAACCAAAAAGGACGCCTATGTGTTCAACTTGTGGTTTCCCTAAACCACAAAACGCTGAAACGCATGTGTCAAACGAACGCTCACCTAGCTTGTCGTTGTTGAACATGTTAGTTATCTTGTTGGGGGGGGTCCCTGTTTTGTACTCAGCGTAATCGAAAGCTATGGGGTCGATAGGCCCAGATAGGCTCTGGACAGTTTGGAGCAGATTTCAGGGAGGGTTCTGGAGTGTTCCAGAGCGTTCCGGGCTGTTGGAATACGCGTTTCTTGTGGAGAGGTTGCCCTTTACTCACTTGCCCCAAAGCGAATCGACCTGAAATGACCTTTTCTGAGTCCTGCAGTAGAGAGGTCAGAATAAGGGTACCCTTTTTTTTCTGTAGTCTATTTTAGTAGGGGGAACCCTCCCAACCAAAAAAGTGTAAAAGGGGACCTAGTTTGGTTTCCCCATGTTGGATTCCCATTTTTAGTGGCCCCAAAAGGTGCTCACCGTTTGCTTCCAGGTCCTTTGGGCAAGTGAATCTAACTCACTCCCATAGAAACCTGCAGGTATACCCCCCGGGCACTGTGACTAAGCCCGCTTGGCGCTCAAAACCCAGGGGGTGCCAACAAAAACCCTGAGTTGTTGGGGAAAAAAGCAACACACCCATAGAAACCTGAAGGTACCCAAAATGGGGAAACCGAACGGTCGACTCGCTGGCAAGTGAGTAAAGGGACACGCGTTGCCAATTTAACCACCAAGTTAAACCGACAAAGGGTTGCCAGCCACTCAGGGAGCGAGTAAAGGGAAACCCCCCAAAAAAAGGAAAACAAGTCGTCACCATACTGTGGATGGACGAAATCCAATTCGCACCACTTTGAAACCATGGTTGAAACCATAAAGTTTGTTGGTATTGTCATTGGGGAATCCCACTTTGAAACCATGGGACACCATTGTTTGTTGGAACTAACAGGGGAATCGAACCATTCCGTTGGGTTTCTGAACAGTGGTGCGAGACTCGCGGATTTCGCAACCCTCCGCAGTGTTATTGCCATTTGCTTAATCCTATGCTATTGATTTCCCCGTGTTGGTTTTGAAGGGAAGCTATCACTACTGTTTTTTGTGTGACATGTTCAAAGGATGGCAAGGACCCAGTTTGGATGATGACAGGGTAAAGAATGGTGGTTATATGAACTAATATGGTGCTATATGAACCATTTATATGAACTGGTGTTCTATTTAACCACACCGGTTATATGAACCCAACCATAAATGCTTAAACGTTTGACTCCCAAAAAAAACACACTGGTGTAACAATAAAAACAACAAATGAGGCTTTGACCCCCAGCGTCCACCCGAGGGCTCCCTTCGTCTCTCGCCTCAGTCACCAAGGCCGCCAAGAGCTGCAGCCGAGACGAGTACACCCGCGGCGGCACCGTCCTGACGCTCCGCTTGGAGCTTTTCCGCTCTGCCCAAAAAAGCTGCAACATATTCTTACCCCTTAAAACTCCCTGCGCCCTGGGGAAGTGTTCATCTTTTACAGACAGATAGCCCATGTTACCCAAAAGTTGAAAAGTTGTGTTTTTAAGAGGTAAGTAAAGGATTGACCTGTTGTTGCCATGACTAAATACTTGGTTGACGTTGAAAGGGGAGCAAACAATCAAATTTTAGCAGTTAAGTGGTCGGATTTCCCACTAAACCACAATAAGCAAAAATGTTTAAAAAACAACAAACATGCCCAACAGCAACCATGAATGTGGACCAAAATGGGAAAAACAAAAGGTCAAAAGGTCGATTCGCTTTGAACAACAGAGCTAGGCCTCCTACACCTGGCCTCTGACAGTCTGACGCCCAATGAACATGGGGGTACGGGTCAAAATTAGTCGCCGGGATATGGACCGCAGGTTTTAGTCCTCTCCATCTAGGGCAAGCCATAATTTGGGGTACCCATTTTTGACCCACACCCGTGGAACCTCACGTTTTGGGGTTCTGGTTTGGACCATTTGCCTTAAGGCTGCGAAAATTGAGGGCGGAGCTGCAAGCCAACACCAGGAAACAAATGGGTTTGGACTGTCAAGGGGCCCCTATGTGAAAAGGGTGGGAGGGTAGAGGGGGTACACCTAGTTTGCAGAAATGGAAGTTGCTCGAGGGATTTGAACACCTGGTTCTTGTAGAGAGTACTCTCCCCTTTTTCACATGGAGCCGTTCGACTTCAGGGGAGAATCGGCCCTGGTTTGGACATGTTTTTTCTTTTTAAGGGATCCTTTCCCGAACGTCAGGTTCCATTTGAGAAGGGTGGGAGGGTAGGGAAACTGGGGCCCGGATACTGCTCCTTGCATGAGTGGATTGGCCAAAAGAAGTCCTGGAACTGGGTCAACTTACCACTAAAATGGTCCAAACCCACAAAAGTTTAAAGTCCGTGAACTCAGGAAGTGAAACTGCGGATGGACAGAATCCACGCCAGGCAACAGTAGGTGGCTTGTCAACCAATATTCCAATAGGGTGTCATTCATCCCATCTGCGTGGCATGGATTTTGTAACCATCAGTACCACCTGTTGGATTCTACGGCACCTTGGCTACCTAGGGATTGGAGCAACCCCTTGGATTGGTCATGTCGGCACCAACGTCAGCAAGGAGTTGAGACGCCCATGCATCAGGCTGGACGAATCTTCTCCGCATGTGGGACGCCTCCATGCGTCTTTTTGTGTTTGTTTCCTTTTGCGGGGGAAAACCAAAAACACCCCCATAATTTTGTGTTGGACCTCCAAGCACATCACCCCTTCAAGTACCTGTGCTTAAGGGGTGGCATGTTTGCCGGGTGGTAGGAGCAGCTTTATGAACAAATCACAGGTTTTAAAAATACCAGCGAGGGGGGGAACAAATCGAACACCGTGTTTAGTGTTTGATGAAAAAACACGGAAGGCCCCTCCAATAAAAGCCGCCCCTAAAGGTGCCCAATCGCCACTTTCGGAAAAGCTTCCGGAGCCGCGGCGCGGATCTTAGCTTTTCTGGGCAGAGACCCCACATCTTCCAGTTGGTGAGAACAAGCTGAGTCTTGGTTGACGTTGGAAGGGGAGCAAATGTTTTTTCAATTCTAGCAGTTCAGTGGTTGGATTCCCCCACTCAACCACAACAAGCAAAAATGCAAAATGTTTCCCAACAACAAGCAGGAAGTTGATTGACAAAACTTCTCCAAACAAGTCGAATAAGGGAAGAGAAGGAGACAGCACTGGAGGGACGTCTCGCGGCTCGGCCCTTTTGATCACCGGTCGTGCCCTTTCGCGAGCTCTTTGCGCGAAAGCTTTTCGCCGGCAGAATTGCTGGAGACTCCCAGAATGAACAGGAATCCCGAAAGGGCTTGAAAAACGAGCTTCTTTGAGAACGAGCTTAAGAAAATAAGTTTGCTTCAGGTTTACATTGAGTCGTAACATTGACCCCGGACTCATTCAACTAGTTTTAGGGGGGTGTTCCTTTCAAAGGAGATAAACCCCACTACAAGGGGATCCCCCCTTGTACATCCACCAGGCCCGCCAAGGGCTTACTTGTTCATCCTGGGTTCTCATTCCATGAAGACTTTCTGGCAAATCCTGGACTGCAGCGACGTCTGCCTGGGGCGGATCCCTCAATGCTCCACCTCCACCCAAGACCCTTCTTGGCGAAGCCTCAGCGTGAAAGGACCGGGTTCCAGAGAATACATCCAAAGAAACAAGGGGCTCCCGAAAATCAGCTGGAAAATGTGACTTTGTTGTGTGTCCCAAAGTGTTTTAAGCGATCCTGATAGAGCTGAGGCAAGAATCTGGAAGCAAGGCTTTGTCTTGATCGATGAGGAGACACCCCGAAACCCACTTGGATTTTCGACCAAGCCCACTGAGAACAGGGTTGACTCCACTCAGGGAAGCTTATAGGTGGGTCATAAGAACCTAGACAACTAACACCTCACCAACTTTGCCGAACATACAAGAAGGAATCCAATGCGTTGGGCTAATCTCATCATAGCAGCAAACCCATCATGAGGCATCCAGAACTCATTGACTCAACCTACAATCTTCTCAAACCTTGAAAGGAATCAAGGAAGGTTGTCTCAGGCGGTTTCCTTTTGGCTTCCCTTACCCACAAAAGGGCACACCCACATGCGCTTTGGCCAAAAGGAGCTTCCCTGACACCTTGCGGTGTTGAAAAATGGGTGCTGGCCAAACTGGGCGCTGGTTAAAAGGAAACATGAGGGGAATCCGAAAAATGAAAAAGTCTAAAGATCCAACCCAATAGCAGTACAGCAAAAAGCAAGTTCAGAAACTCAGGGAGTGAGCAGAAGTTCCCTTAAAGTGGGGTTTATTTTCTTAAGGGAGTTGTAACCCAGGTGACTAACCAGTTTCGATCCTGGCCGAACTTTCTAACCCGGAGTGAGCATATTTTTGCACACATTCCAGTGGTCGCCAAGTGCCGTTCACCGCTAACTCGCAGTCACCCTTCCCAGGTTTTGTCCGGAAACCGGGGCAACTGAACTTCGAGCGTCCAACTGTCCATCAGAAGAACCAGGGAGCTGATTTACCTGCCTTCACGCTTGAAAAGTCTGTCTCCCTAAGAATCTTGGGATGCCGCATTTTGAGGTAGTTTCCGATGGTGGGCTGCACAAGTTCCGATTCCCAATCTGATAAGAGGTACCTGGTAAGCTGGTTTATCCCCAGCTGTGAGCAACACAGAACTGTCCTCTGACAACCTTTTCAGACCTGCCTTGAAAAAACAGATTCCTAGACTTTCAGGGGTTGGAAGGGACAAATGGTCCGGCACAGTTGTTGGGCCGAAACAAACATGAACACACTGAATGGACCCTCAAACTACCCGGAAAAAATGGGAGTTGCCAACCATAAGTTTGGGGCAATAACCCATTTTTGGACGGATTTGCAGGGCGAGTAGCTGGTTCTTCGAGCCTCACAGCTCACACCATGTGCACCGACCACTCGGGGAGCTGCTCGATTCGAAACCTCGCCTGGCTTTGGTCTCGCGTCTCTTGGTGCCCTCCAGCAGTGATAGGTGTTCACTTCGCCAAGTTAATTAGTAAATTGTTAAGCCTATCTATAAGCCTAAGTAGGGGGAAACTTATGATAACCTTAGGTCGGTAAGCCCAATTTAGGCTATAACCCACCTATAAGCCTATAAGTCCTAAGTAGGGTTAACCTTGCTACTAGTGGGTTGTAACCCTGGTGGCTAACCACTTACTAACTTGGCCGAACATCCCTGATAGGTGTCCAGCAAAACCAACAGCGGAAATAAATAGCGTGTACTCTTAAGCAAATGAAAGTATACTGTGAATGGCTGCAAAATCCGCGAGTCTCGCTGCACCGTTCAGAAACCCTACGGAACAATTCGATTCCCCCACGTGAATACCAAGAACCGCTATAGTTTCAACCGTGGTGCGAACGGATTTCGCCACCATCCACAATAGTTGCCTTGAAACCCAAGCTACTCGTAAAAAAGGGAAATTTACCAACCATCATTTTGGCGCGGGAACTAATCCACCTAAGTTGGCATGGTGTCGGGTCCAGGCAGTGATCGTTTCCTTGAAACCAACACTCCCCCAATGGATAAGAGCAAGTGCTGCGAGTAAAGACCAAGATCTTCGGAGGCGCGATATAGTTGGGCAAATTAGACAAGCAACTTTTGCTGCAAACACGTCTGCGCCTAATAGGGCGTGAATTGCCTTGCCCATGGGGTCCCCCCCCCTCAAAAAAAAACAGAACACGCCCAAGACCCAAGAACTGAAAAAAAAGTACTTCGTAAATCGCGGCAAGCCATGCGCACAAGACACAAGCACGTCTCAGACATGAGCAAGCAACCTGCAGAATGAAACTTGTCCACCCATGACCCGTTAAAAACACATGGGGTCATGACCCCATGTGAGACCCCTTTATTTTGGGTAATGCTTTTTGCTTGAGGGTACCCCTGCTTAGTAGGTTTTTAGGGGGAAACCAACAAAGGAAGACCACCATTTTGGGGCGTCCCCTTGATTTTGGGCAATGACCTCGTTTTCTCTGTTGGTCAGAAGGCGGGGATCTCTCAAAGCTTTCGCTCGTACCCAGATCTCGCTATAGCACGACTCTCGCCCGACTCTCGCCAACAATTCCGTGTCTTTTTTAGGGAAGCCCTCCTCCCAATAAATAAATGAACAACAAACAGCCAAATAAATACATAAATGGGTGCTTTCCTTTTGGTTTCCCTTTCAACCAACCCCAAAAGAGGGTACCCTCAAAGGAATTACAGACCCAATTTGGCATACTTGATTGGATCAACGCATCGCCTCATAGGCGGAGTTCAGCAAACGTTTCGCCTGGCAAAACGACTAAGAGAGCCCCAATCTCATGCACTGCCAAGGGCACTCTTTTGGGTCCCGCTAAATAAAGCGATTTGGAGAACCCACGCTCACTCGGAAACTGAAACCCCCGCTGGAGGAAAGGGACTTGCTTCTTTGTTGGCTACTTGTTGAGGAAGCCGCACTGCAAAAGCACCTCACTTCCGATTGAGTGGATCGGTTAAACAAAGCTTCCAAACTGTTTCTTTGCCACTAACATCGTCCAGACCCCAACAGTGACTAAAAGTCCATGAGCTCAGGAAGTGAGTCATGCACACAACAGCACCGTTCATACCAGCCCCCTTGCATTTCTCGCACGCAACAGAATAATTGAAACTGTGTTTGCATGATAATGGAGTTGGACAGGTCCGAGTCGCTGTGTAGCTGTAAAGGCCATGCCCATGATGTTGCTACTTTCAACCGGATCTCTAAGATACCACAAACAGCTGCAACCCGGAACCCCATGTCTGTTGCACAATCACGTAGCTATCTATGTTCACAAATCTGATTCTGGTTAGAGATGTGCATTTATAATATCGGGCGGTCCCAGCCTCATGACAATTCCTGGATGTATTGGATGTTCCTGCAATGCTCCAAATAATAAGTCTGTGGCGACACGTCCATAGCTTGCAGCACTGGTTCTAATCAGTCCGCTGATTGATTTAAAGATTGAACGAGGGTGACCCTTGTTCAGGTTCTATGCTTCTTTTTGGGAAGGCATGTGTGTGTGTGTGTGTCAAAATAGAACACCCCCCCCCAAATGGATTTCGGTGGTCCGTTTGCTTCTCTTTAAGTCTTCGTTCTGGGCCACGTTTGTGGCTGAAACTGCAGGGCCCCGAATAGACCTAGCACCCCGTCGGTTCTGAACATGGGGAAGCCTTGCATGATCAAACCCCACTTGCTGCTGTGGTACCTTCAGCAAGCTGGGCCGCCCTCAGATCCCCAGCGACTTGGGTAAAATGAAAATCCAACCACTAAACACTAACAAGCTAAAAGCTAAGGAACCGGATGGCTGGGAGCCACCAAGCAAGCATACACTGGTGCTGGGGTTCTGGCAGGGGCGGGGAGGGGGGCGTCCCAACTCCTGACGCCAGAGGCCATGCTCTCGTTTGCTGTTTGCGAAGCTGTCCTGTGAGCAATCGAGTGAGTGTTCTGGACTTTGGAGAATGTCCCAACTGGATAGACAACATTCACATTTTGGCTGAACCTCAGATGGAACCTCACATGAGCCACAGAATCAAAACCGATCGATACAAAAATGGTGAACCCAAAAACATGTAAAGAGTTGCCATCGCGGCAGCACCTATGGTTGGGAGTGTTGTCCCTTGCTAATCTTCACTTACCTGGGTTTTGACTGAACCTCACATAGGTTTAAAAGCGGGGCCAAAGCAAAAGGGAACTCAAAGGGAACGGCCAAACATCAGGGAGCATAGAACCTTCCTATCATTGAGTTGCAAACTGATGCCTGTGGGGAGCGGGAGAAAACCCATGTGTTCTATGTTTTTGTTTATGTCTTGCGTCTCTCTTACTATTCATCCTTGCTTGTCTGTAAACTGCTGAAACATCCTATATTTGATGATTGACCACTTTATCATTTCCATTGTATAGACATAGTATGATTATTTACCTGTCTAGCCTTTTATGATCTATTGCTGTTCTCTTAGTACTATATCTTGGTATATCATTTGTCTTTATTAACTGGCTGCATTCCAGATCATATCCCAAGCCTTCAGCAACTTGTTGCTCAATCTTTCCCCATTGGCTGTTGCTGGCTGAGAATGCATCACAAACCCGCCAGCAAAACAAGCCTCATGCATCAGCACTCCTATCAGTCCGTGACAGTGTGGAAAAGCAGGGCCTTTCAAAGGAATGGGTCCAAGTAAGGGACGGTTGCTCACTTCCGATCGAGTTAAAATCGTCAAACAAAAAACTGTCTGTTTCGCAACTCAGGGAACGAGGCAAGGCTAAGTCATGGGTAAGCGTGCTTTGTCACCAAAAGCGGGTCGGAATGCCTTTGCAACCCTTGGTATGGTAGAAACAAACTTTGTTTGCTCCAGCCCCCTACTAAACATAAGCAGAACCAAACAAAAACATCAAACAAAACAAAACGCAAACATGCCAACAACAGCGAAGATCTGCCGAGAAGCCTCGTACATCACACGATTTGCCTCCCCCCCGCCTTGGAGTCTGCTGGGTTTTGCCCATCTTCAAACAGCCTGAGGCGCCAAAAGGCAACCGGTCGGAGGGATCGTCCTGCGATAAACCAACTGTCCATTGTCCTGGCTCGTCATTTTTGGAGTTGGTACTCCCCTTGTTGATGGTCTTAAAGGGAAACCACAAGGAAGACCAAGATCCATCTCGGGGTGCCCGAATCCTTTAAAGAAGCACACTTATCTTGCTGGTGCTCAGCAGGGAATGAGAGATGGAATGACTATTATAAACCATCCAACTTGTGGTTTCCTTTATTCGGGAATCCCTGGGTTCAGTCCCACGTTCCCTGAGCACCAGCAAGATAAATCTCAACAACTCAGCACACCGAATAACTAAAATACCGAAAACTCCAAACTTTGGACATGGGGAAAAAAACAGTTGTTGCGGGGGCGGGAAGCATCTTGAATGGAAGCGAGAAGGTTCAGAAGATGCCGTGGGCCTGTTCAGGGAGAAGTCGAAAAGTTGTCCCTGGTGAGCACACGCACTCTGAATTGCCGATTTCGGCTAGAAACTTACTTCGGTCAAGGCACAACTCAAACCTAGCCAAGTACAACGTGCTTTGACAAGAATGATTGGGTTCTCTAAAGGAACAACAGCCGAGCAAGGAATCGGCTCGTAAAAACCTTCGAACACTAACCTTGCGGGTTCTTCCAGCTGTCGAATCTGTCCTTTGGGTTTCTTCCCCCCCCCCCCCAAACAATATATTGCTGCGTCGAACAGACACTGCGCGCTCTTGCAAAGGCAACCCAAAAGCACCCATATATGGCTATGACTTTCTGGTTTTTTAAATACGGAACCCCCCTCCAAAGTGGTTGGTGCACATGGATCCCCACAGTAAGTTCAAACCCAAAACGTAAAACCCCGACAAAACATGCGCCGAGCCAGTTTCTGGTCCGGGATGCAGCCTCATGGCCTTCTCGGTGCAGAACTGGATCAACATGAAACCGGCAAGCGTCGCCTCCTGACATGTCAATGGCAAGGGGGAAGGGAAAGGAACATAGGGGTCTTCTTTCGGAGTTGGCATTTTGGTATTTTGCTTGGTTGGTTTAAATTCTGTTTTTGGAGTTCGCTGCTGCGAATGGACGAAATCCATTTCGCACCACCGTTCAGACACCCTGAAATGATGATTCCCCTGTAAAAACAAAACAAAACAACAAACGATAGTTTTCCATGGTTTTAAAGTAGTGCATAACTTTGTCCATCCACAGTAGGTGTCCAGTTTTTGGAGACGGTATTTTTCCCCAAGCAGCTTTCCAGCTGTGGATTTGGTCTTGGCCCAGGCGTTGCTTTCAGGAAAAGTTCCGGAGCATTCCGGGCCGGGGGCGTTGGGCACCTGTTGATATGTTTGGTTTGGTTAGGACAACCATGAGGACAAACAGAATAATCATGTCCCCTAACAGACAGACACCCCAAAGCCTGGGTGATCCTTGGGCAAATGGCTTCAGACGGAACTCCAAGCCTCGGCAGGTGTGCCCAAATTTGAAGGCGTTTCTTCTGTTAGCCCCCCCCCAAAAAAAAACAAAAAAAAGGCAACGGAACCTTTTTGGATTCCCTGTAAAACAACACAAAATCGATGCCCTCAACAAAATACACGCCTATTGTTGAGACACGTCCCTACCTGGCTGTTCGCCGGCCAGTTTACTTCGTGCTTACCAACAACTTGCAAGCTTGGCTCCAAGTACCTGTCCAAGACTTCCCACGCTGACCAAACCCCCAAGAACAATGACAGTTGTAACATCGTGCATCTCTACCTTCTTCACATGAGAGTAGAAGCAATATTAGCACGTTACAATCCTTGCTTTCACCAGGAGATAAATCCTCGGCCAGCGATGAGACGAAACAGCCAGGAGCAAATGAGTCAAAAACAAACCCGGTATTAAAATGGTCGACCCAGAACCATGCTTCAAGAAAAAAAAGGCGGATATCCCGGATATCCGCAGCTATTTTTTGGCAAGGGGATTGTCACTAACCTTCATCTACCCGGGTTTTGAGCGAGTGGCTCACTTGATTCGCTGGCTTCTATCATCAAACATGTAAACCATATCCTACAGCTGCCAAATGACTTCTCTTGAGCTTCACGCATGTGGCAGGAGCTTGATTCAGGAGTAGAAACGGTTAAACGCTTTACCTCAAATGCTTCGGGCTCATCGTGGCGCCAGGCGAAGGCGGCAGCCCGGTCCTGCACCTCCGGTTTGTGAAAGGCGTCCACCGAGCCTAGCACCTCGAGGAGACCAGGAGAAAAAAAGGCGGGTAAAGACCAGAGGCCTCCTGGGAGGACAAAAAATATGATTTACATTAACAAGATGAAGCTATGATGTTATATACATATGTATGTATGTATGTATGTATGTATGTATGTATGTATGTATGTATGTATGTATGTATGTATGTATGTATGTATGTATGTATGTATGTATGTATGTATGTATGTATGTATGTATGTATGTATGTATGTATGTATGTATGTATGTACTGTAATGTAATGTAATGTAATGTAATGCAATGTAATGCAATGCCATGCAATGTAATGTATGTATGTATGTATGTATGTATGTATGCGTATATGTGTATATGTAACTATGTGCGTATTAATAATGTGACAATGTGTCAACGCGTATATAGATAGATAGATAGACAGATTGGATTGGATTGGATTGGATTGGATTGGATTGGATTGGATTGGATTGGATTGGATTGGATTGGATTGGAGGATTGGATTGGATTAGATTAGATAGATAGATACACCCAACCGCCGAAATTGCCCCAAATCTCTCGCGAGGCAAAATCCGCATGGGACGCCGCGGGGTGAAGTCGCCTGAAGTCACCCCAAAAGTTACGAAACCGCATGAGGACGCAAGCGTGGAAAGGCCACTTTGTAGCCATTTTTTCGCAACTAAGATGTGGAGGACGCGTACAAATCAAGTGCCCAAAAGTGTGCCCAAATCAACTACCGAAGCAGGAAAGAAGCCTGGGACGCCGATGAAGCTATGCTTTGTCAAAGTGATAGTTGTTCGCGCTCGAAACGCATCAATCACTAGCAGACGCAGTCAGTTGGAGCATATCAAAGTTTAGGAATTGTTGCAGCTAAGATGCGCAACACCGATGGGAACAGAAGGAAATCAAGCGCCAAACGTGTGCCCAAACCACTCGCGCCAGGCAGGAAAACCCCATGGGACGCCAATGAAGGCATGACTTGAAGTCATAGTTTCTTGTGCCGGAGCACTTCGAGCCACAAGCAGGCACACTCGTTCCAATCATCCGGAAATTCCAGAGTTGCGGCAGCTTTAAACATGCAATCCCAGCGAAAAGGAAGAGAAAACCAGTGCCAAAGATGTGCCTACAACGTTCGGGGCGCTAAAGAAAACTGCCTTTGGGGCACAGTTGCAGACACAATGCGTTGAGACCTGCTGCCTGCTCCAAGACAACATGGCCAAAAAGGAGGGTCTGAAACAGGTCTAAAACATGCCCAATTGGGGAAGATTGGACAGCCAAATGTCGACCCAGCCTCAATCCAGCGCAGCCTGTTGTGCTCAAGCGCAACCACAGCAAGAGCAACTTACTATTACACAAGTGTGACCTTGCCACCGCAGCGATCGTAAGGGGAATTGGTGTGAACCCACTCGCTCTGCTTGCTGGGATAGCTACATAATGGAAAACGAAACAACACATTCCAGACCTGTTTGAAGCCCCTCTACAAGCCAGACACATGTTGAGTGTGGGCATGCCTTTATTGGTGTCCCTTTGCGTTTTCCTGCTGAAGCAAAAGCTCCTCAGAACAAAGTTTAGCGCTTGAAAAGCTTACGCGGACAGTGCTTTTTCACTTCTTCTTAGCAGTTGGTTTTCGCACATACCTATCGCCACGGTTGGCCTGCCATGCACTGAGCCACATCTCACGGCCCTTTTTTGTGTTCAAGATGTTTTTAACCTCCTTTTTGAAGATGAAAGAAAGGGGTTTGCCCTTTGACACTTGAGGGCGCAATCTACAAGCCACGAAGTAGGCTGCCACCGGCTCAACCTCCTGGCGACGCCCTTTAGCAAAGTGAGCGCAAATGTAGGCACTGGCTCCATCCGGACAATCTAAATCATATTCGACATCACTGTCACTTTCTTTCGTCGCTTCCTTGACATCAGGTGCTGCTGAGGAAGCAGGTGCGGCACTTGCAGCTGCCTGCATTTGATTTTGGGGCTTCCAAGTTGTCTTGCCTCTGCTTGACACTCTTCTGCATAAGCTTGAACACGTCATCCACCTGGTTTAACAAAGCCTGCTGATTTTCTGACATTGTGGCTTTGTCTGGCAGGCTCAGTTTCGGGTTGCCTTTCCACCCGCTGCGCCATCCGCGCTTCACAATGTTGAGCTGCTCAGCACTGAAGGCCTCGTTCGCCACCACGCAGTTCCAGCAATTCTTCATACTGGTGTCCAAGTATTGACCGCGCTTGCGCTTGACTTTCTTGGGAGAGATGGCTTTCAACACATTCAAGGCTGGCGCCTTGGGACCTTCAAATGTGCAGCCGCGGACTGAGCTGAAAATCTCCGACGCCCGCGCCACGAGAAGGGTGTCCCGCTGCCAAGGCTTGCCGGGCTCGCACCCAACCCGCTTCCAAGAGCTCTGCGCGAGTCGAGGCGACAATGCTTCGGAGATAATTGCCTCTGCGGCACGCAGAGTAACAACCAAGGTCATTGAGCCCTTTGTGCCCCACTGTTGCTTAAATCGAGCCCACAGCTCCGACATGCGCTGGTGACAGTGCTGATCTAAGGGCATGATCGCCCTGGTGGAATAATTAGGGATAAAGAAGATCTTGATGTTGTGCAAAAGGCACACTTGAATCAGCGATTGCGATAGGTGAAGGACTGAGCCCCCGCCTGGACAGCCAAGCGCAACGCAAGCACTCTAACAATCGAAGACCGGCAGTTGAACAAACTCCTTAGACCAGCAGTTGAACAAACTCCTTAGCCATTGTACTTTTCAGCAAAAGCCCGTCGCCTGTGTCGGCCATCAGCACAAGATTTCTCAGCGGGAATTTTGCGCTCCTGCCAAGCACGGCCCAAATAAGACAGCCTTTGTCGCACGCTGGCAGATTCAATGTGTTAAAAGCTGCCCCTGGTTTCAAAACAAAATTGCATAAAAGGAGGGCCTGAAACAGGTCTGAAACATCCCCAAACCATTAGCCGCATAAGCTTTGAAGGTGGGTTTCCCCTCCGAAGTGTCCAAAACCAGCTTGAAACAGCCGCCGCCTGACTGTCACCTTGACCACGAATGGTGCTTTTAGGTAGGAAAGGGCACGCTCTGAATGCACTTCAAAACCCTGGCCCATGAGTTTTCTTCAGCTTGTGTCCAAATGCTACACTCAATTTCCAACAAGTGCTCTTTGTCCAAAAACCAGCTACAAGGCTGTGAATGCCTGGACCCTCAAGCCCTTCTCCGCCCGAGCCACTGTGCCAAGACAAGTCTGGACAGAACAGGCGAATACCATCAGCGCCAGTGTCGAGCCAGGCTGGACTATGGTGTTCTGAGAACGAAGTTGCAGGGACTTCTTGCCGCAGAGCACGAGATGGCACCATTGAGGCTTCAATGTCAGTGCCGACTTGTGTAGCGGCATGCTGGCAACCCGGCAATTTGCGTCAACCCCCCTGCAAGCCACCGCTGGCCACAAAAGACATGCTTCAACTCTCAATCTTAGGTTATCCTCAAAGGAAGGTCTGAAACAGGTCTGAAACACAACATGCGCGTTTGCCATCTGAAACTTCCTAGATGGTTGCCCAAGCCCTATGATTTTCCACATGCAAACAGACTTATATATCTCAACGAACTGCTTACAGTACTGCACAAAAGACACAACAAACGCCTTTCTGATAAGGCTCCGTCACAACAACACATGAAATGGCACAATGTCCCAGAAATGCATTCAAACAAAACAACCGAGAATTTCCATTGACCTGGCTAAACTGATCCAAACACACATCTCCAACGATACAACATATTGCACTGTCTACACCTTGGCTTTCCTAGATGTCAGTTTCCTCTCATCCCTTCCCCTCCCATCCTTGCTTGCCTTCTCCTTCCATCTCCTTTCCCACCCCAAAAAAGGTACGTTCTATGATTCTACTAAGAATCAGGCGTCGGTTTCCCCAACGGGTTGCTGCATTTAGCAGTTTCGCCGGGCTGCTCTGCCGCTTGGAAATCTAAAAACCTTCAATTTCTAGAGAGTCTTTCCCGCACCTGGACGCCGCTCGGGGTGATTTCTGGAAAACCTTTCCCGCATGGCACGAGACTGAAAACGGGATGATTTCCACAGTGGGGAGTAGGTAGATAAGAATAGATTAGATTAGATAGATAGATGTGTATGGATGTATATACATACATACACCGATAATAATCATATATATATATATATACATATGCGCTGCACGACCTCTAGCGGAATTGTTTTTGTTGCCTAAGGTTGATGAGAATCGGTGAGTCTCAGCATGTGTGTGCCCAATTCCAATGGACGACCACCACTGCACGGTGGCACTCTTGCCTTCGGAGGCGCTGATTGTAAGGGCTGCCAGCCACATTCGCTCACTGACTTCAACCGATGCATGAAGCCAACCCCACATCGCAGCCGACCTCGCCAACAACGGTTTCCAGTTTGGGCGTTTTTTCGAGGAGCCCCTGTTGGTTTGAAAAGACACCTGTTTGATGCTTGGGTTGTGAAGGAGCCCGCCGGCCACCCGCTACGAGACAAAGCAAGAAGCAAGTCTGACAAAAGAGGAAGGGTTTTTTTTCAGGAATCCCATCAAAGAATTAGGTGCATCACACGAACCCCCGAGCCGGGTACTCGGCCTTGAGAAGCTGCGTGCTGGTCTCCTGCAGAAAGTCCACCACCATCCACAGCGGCATCGCCTCTGACCTGCTGATCTTTGTCCGCCGCTCCGAGTCGAGTAGTCGAGTCGAGTCGAGTAGAAGAGTCAGCGCTGTGTGGGGATTCCGAGCAAAAGATGTTATTCTAGGGGTTGATTCCTTGTCCATTCTTTTCAACCATCGTTCTTTTCAAAACCAGCTGTTTTCCCAGGGTTTTTGGTGGCTTTCTAGAAAGAAGGATCCCTGGCAAGAATGGGGAAGCAACCCTTAGAGTTATCCCTAGGGGTCCTTGCCCCCATGAAAAGAATGGCAAGGACCCAATTTGGGTGATGACGGTTTGAATTCCAGGGTTATTGGACCTCTGTGCCGTGGTCGAACCTCCTTATCGACCAGCTGTAAAAAGACCTAAGTATGACCTTTGTTTCATCTAGGATTAATAAACCTGTCCCATTATTAGGGGGGTGTTCCCTCCAAAAGTGATGAATCCCCACTAAAAGGGGACACCCCCTATTAATCAACCAGGGGTTTATTAATCCGGGGTTAACATTAAGTGTCATCATGTCAAAAAATGTTTTCGGCTCGAAACGCGAACAGAGCTCAAAAGTTGGTTGCACGACGCCCCCCACATTCACCAAATTTGGTGAATTAACTCAAATTCACGCACCTGAAACAGGCGACTTTTTCAAAACAGGAATATTCCTCCTAGGTTCTGCTTCAAGCCAATCATCTGGGTGCATTACAATATTTCACCAACCTGCGAAGCCGATGTGTGCGGGGGAAACAAAAAAACGCCTTCGAGAAAAAAAACACCAAATTTGGCTGTTGTTCGGAAAAAAAATCGTTGCTTGGAAATAATTTCATTTTTGCCTGGCTCAGCTAAGATTTCCGGACTTTGCCGCCCTTGTTTGGCTCTCGAAAAAGGCACTCTACCCACGAAACTCCTAAAAAGGCCAAAGTTTGGAAAAAATGTCGTTTCATGGGAAAACAGGTTTTTTCTCGAAAAGACCGAAAAAAGACACACTGAAATAAGGTGGTTGGGGGGCTATTCCCCACCTAAACCCACCACTTGGGGTGAATTCGGTCGTGTGAGGTCGTTATACTTCGCCCAGAATCATCACCGAGACACTCCTCCCAGACATTCAGCATCCACAGTAGCATACCAATGTCCTCCTCGAATGTGGGCTGAAGCCACAGCAGGTAGGTGCGAAGCCTGCGATTCGGTCAGGGTTCAGGGCAGGCTAAACTCAATGATTTTGCCCTTGTTTGAAAAAGGAAAATCAAACAAAGGCCTGCTTTTTCAGGGTTCTGGAAGATCAAGGGACTGTTCTTCAATTTCCAAGGAATTCATTCGCCTTTCCGCCTCACTTACTACCAAACTATCCAACCATGCCCGCCATGCGTTCAAACGTGATTGTTCAGCTAAGTGACCTTATTTACAGCCCTCAGCAAAAGACAGACCCATATAATTGAAAAGGGAAGGACCCTTTTTCACGTCTGTGACCCTCCTTCCAAGCGTGCGGGAGGGTTGGAAGACCATTATCTCAAGGGCCTTCAGGATCCCACGTTTTGGGGGCATGTGGAAAAGAATCAACCATGCTTTCGATACCAAACAATTCCCACTTTTGTCTCTAAATTGGGGACCACCAAGTATGTTTGGTTTCCTTTTGTAAGGTCTTTAAACCAATCCAGGAAGGTTATCCAACAATTCCCACTTGGCCACTCTCGCGACGAGATTTCAGGCGGAAGGTGCCGACGTTTGATGGGGAAAGTGTGCAACCGATGTTCATCGGTTGCACCAAGTTGTGCGGGAGAAATCCCGAGAACCTACAATGTCTATGCCGACAAGCCCGCACGAAGCTCCTGCGAAAAGGTCTGCGTCGAACCCCAGATCCCCTGCTAAAGGTTGTGCTTTAGTTGGTTTGCATAACAAAAAAGTGTTCACCAACCCTAATTTTGGCTTGCGATTGCAATAACCCTCAGATCCCCTTCCAAAAAATGAACTTTTCGTGGGCAAAAAAATGGAAACCAAAAAGCTAAAGAGCTAAAAAGCTAAAAAAGAAACACACAACAACTCAGAAAACCAAGCAACTTCCACTAAACACACTAAAAAGATCTCTCAAAAGCTAAGTTGAACCGCATGGCTGGTTGAGCCACCAAGCCTGGACTCGGTTCCATGGGAGCCGAAATGTCCCGTGCCCAAAAGGTGCACATGTGTCTCAAAAGGGAGGGGCCCGAAAAACGCGGCTGCTCCAAAAATGCTTTCCGAAAAAAATGGCACCCAAAATGGCACCTTGGGAAATGGAATCAAAGACTAAAACCAAGCTCTAACCCAAATGCTCTAAAACTTGCCACACCCAAATGTGGGGGCTTTCCGGTTGCTGCCCTTTTTACCAATACATAAAAAAGAAAGAGTACCCTCGCAGCAGCCTGCCTCAAGAAAACAACCACCCAAAACGGGTGCCAGGAAAATTCCTGCATTCCACAAAGGCCCTCTGAGCAGCATTAGGCTCCGACTCCTGTCTCCAAGTGGGGCAACCCGCAAAATTGTCTCCGCTGTTGCGGCTTCCCGTTGCCTAAAAAAGGCGCCGTGAAAAGGAAAGCCCCCGGTTCCTCTTGTTGAGGCACCTTCAACTTTCCGAATTACTGGTTTGGCGGGAGATCTATGGACAACCACCTGTAAATATCAACCAACAGGTGCTCCGAATCCCATTTTGAGAAACTCCCAAAGTACCGTGTCCTTCCAAACCTCCTGGTAGCCCCTGATCTTGCCAGTTTGGATAAGCCCACTTGACCCCCTCACCACTCAATTCCGTGGACTGGCCAAACCAACGATCCAAACAGCTAAAGTTTAACTAGTCCATCTAGCAAAAAGCCTAACTGCCCCAACTTAATAATGGGGTTGTGGCAACCCCACATTGTGGTTGGGTTGTGGCAACCCCACATTGTGGTTGGTGAAGTCCGTTTCATGACCAAAGTTGCTTGCAGCCCACTAACAGATGAACAGAACCAACCAAAACCAAAAACAAGAAGAAACATGTTCAAACAGCAGTGAAGTTAATTCTGACCAACATTCCCCTAAGAAATGGATTACTTCCCTGATATAATGGTTGGGGCATTCCCTTTCTTTGTGTATAAGGCTACCCCTGATATAAACCCCTAGTTTATGGGAGATTTAACCGTTGCTTATGGTTGGGGGGGGGGGGGAATCAGCCCCCAAAGAGTCCAAAATGGCTATGGGTTCATGGACCGAACTCCAATCCGCCTACTTTGGACAACTTAAAAAGCCAACTTAAAAACTGGTTGCTGCAACCTCCCTGGAGTCTCAATGACCCTTTAGAAATGGTTGGTCATTGCCCTAAATCATGGGGGCCATGGACCTATTCTTAGAGGGTCAGAAGGAGAGACTCCCAGGTAGTTTGAGGCTGAGGCGAAAAAAAGCCAACTCAAACAGTTGGTTGTTGCAGCCTCAAATTGGCGAACTCCCTTTATTTTTATGGGTAGTATGACTTAATTCTGGCACATCACCCCCAAAGAGTCCAAAATGGCCATGGGTCCCATGGGTTCATACGCGGCGACTCAACTTTGATCCTGGAAACTCGCTCCGCAGCATGGCGTCGCTGGAGTCCATGCAGCTGGAAATGAGGCCCCAGGGCTGCCGGCTTCGACGCCAACACTCGAAGGCGCCTCAGAAATCGACACGTCGAACAGGTTTCCTCGAAACTCGCGACCCAAGGGGTTTAACTGAGAGCCATTTAGAGGAATTGCCCCTTCATTCAATGTAGATCCTCATGCAGTGTCACTTCCGGGATTACCTTGGTACTGTATCACAGAAAGCGGACGTAAACAAAAAAAAACATCTTGAGAACCATGTCGAGATGTGGATAAAACTCACCACCCTAAGGGTCATGACCCCTCAAATGCAGACCCCCGGACCCTCCAATGGAGAACCTCGACCAATTCCTCAAGGGCCCTCAACAACAACCCATTTGGAAGGCCCCAAAACCAGTAACAACCCTTAGGGCAGGGGGGAAAAAAAAGAAACGGAGAGAAAACTGGACCCCCGGAGTCCTAGAGTCCTGGAGGCTCACTTTTCATTGGGGAAGAGTCGGCGGACGTTTAGGTGGCTCCAAAGGAGAAACCAAAAGGAATCCTGCAGGAATGGGTCCCAATTTCGAGAAACACCCAGGGGCTTGGTTTTAAATGGTATCCCCATTTTGGGGTCTTGTTTAGGTGGGAATTGGTGTCCGATTTTGGAAGTTCCTCATTATGATTCACAGCCACGGCCGCGTGGGTTGATTCATCTAGAGTCAACATCACCCGATGAATTATGTTTTTTGGAAAAAAAACTCACCTCTAGAGGAAACTCAAAACAAGAAAGAAAGCGAGACCAAAACAAGCAAAAACAAGTAAGCATAGGTGTCCTTGAAAAAAATAAATGGCCCTGGTAAATGGGGAAAAACCCATGAAAACCAGTGGAACCCATCTATTTCCAATCAAACTAAGCTTTCAAAAGGACACTTGTGCAAGTCCCTCTGTTGGAGTGAAAGTGAACAATGTTGAAAAACTCCGAACCCATGTACATGAGCGTGTCAGCTGTGCTTCTCGTTTGCAGGGCTTTCCAGTCAATTTGGGCAGAGGAACCGGAGGAACGGACAGCGCCTTGCACGTTGGTTTCCCCCCAAAGTTCAAAGGGGTTTCCCTTCAAAAGGGAACCACACCAGGGCTGGAAATGGAATCCACAAATCTGTGATACAATAAGGGCTTCCCAAAGACTAACCCACCACATAACGGGGAGAATCCCACAACCCTGAACCACACCGATTCCTTCTCTTGGCCTACAGCTGTATGAGAGGGACCCCGTTCAGCTTCCATAGCCCGCAATGAGAGATGTGGACAAGATCGAGGAAATGCCCAAGGCTTGCTGTCAGAAGTACCTTCCCCTAAAGTACGGCCCCTATATACCCAGAAAGGCAGGGTCTTATTGACGTTTAAATCTTGCAAGGGCGTTTTTTTCAGGGAGCCCCCGATCGCTCACAAAATCCGGAGGTCTCTGAGGCGCGGGCCGATATCTACAGACACGTCTCTCGTCTTGCGCCAGAAGCCTCACTGTCTTTTTTTGGGGCCCGTTTTGGGGATTCGACGCTACCCGTCTTGCGCCATTTTGGGGATTGGCTTTATGCAAAACGAAATAAACAGGTGGGGATTGGTTAAGAAAAAGGGAAATTCAAGGGACGCCACCAATTTGGGAGCTTCCAGCATGTTTTCATGAAGGACTGTTTGGTGGACAAACTCAGGGATTGGTGGACACGAAATTTGGCGAACTTGCTATCCAGCAACCACAGCATACCCATGGCTGTGTTTTGAGGGTACCCTTTTTGGGTGTGATTGAAAGGGAAACCAAATGGTCCCCCTATTTCGACACATCCCGTGCGTGTGGTCCAAATTCCAAAGAGGGCCAGGGTGCCGGCACAATGCTTGTCTAAGGCGGCTGACCAATCCTAGCAAAAAAAACACAAGTAAAGCGGGTCTTCTGACCACAGCACGTTGCGAGCAACGCGAAGCCTTCAAAGAAAATAAAAGACGAAGAATCTCTTCCTTGAGCCTTAGAAGGCCAACTATAACGGCCAACCTACATGCCCCAAATGGACACGCCACACCTCTAGGCCTTTTACAGGGATGCATTTTGGGGGTATGTACCCTGTATAACCCATGTATAGCCAATGTTTTTTGGGGTGCAAGGAAACGCCCTTAGAAACTAGTTGTTTGGGCTCCATATTCACTCTTAAACATCACTCCACCAAAAGGAGCCAAAAGGAGTCTCATCCAAAGTGGCCCAAAAAGCTGTTTTATCCGGCGGAAAATTTAGAAACCTAACCTGAGAAAGTACCCCACGTGCAAATCACCTTATGAGTCCAAAATCCTTGGAAAAGGGGAGTATGTTTGGCGGAAACGCACCTGCTTTTGTTTAAGAGAAGTGAGTGGTATGGGGGGGGGGGTCCTCCCTACAACAACAAAGCAAAAACCTGCGGGTGGCTGCTGAGAGGTTGGGGAAAACACCGAAAACGAACCACGATCTGTTTCTGGCAACCAAGAACACCCCCCCCCCTCGCCCAGCCCAGTCACGTCACTCAAAAACACGCAAATGTCCCACCAGCTATTGCATCAGTAAACAAACAAAACCCTGGATGAGGCAGGATTACGTTGCAGAAGTGGTTCGTAAGGGGTCCAGGAATGCCGCATGGCATTTTTCAATCTTGTTTTAGATTTGGCATCAAATGAACTATTTGTCCTATCATGTTCCAATGATTGCAACTCTGAATTTTACAATACAATACTTGGCCGCCTTGAGTTGTTGCCTGACTTGCTCTCCTCAAATACGCGAGAAAGTGCCAACACCTGATTGAGCGCCATGGAAACGACTCAGTCTTTGAGCATTGATGATAGCTCACCTCAAAAACACGAGTGCAATGGATTCCCCCCCCCAACCGGCGATAGCTCCACAGAATATCTCAGGACCACCCCCCCCCAGGCCATGAGTCAAAACAAGTACAAACGCTTTCTCGCCGATTGCCCCAAAGCAAAGCAAGTCAAGAAACTCGAGCCTAAGTACACAAGCGAGACCTGTAAATAGAGGGCCCCCGCTTTTCACGAAATTGATAGGAAACCAACAGGAAGGCATATCTATGGACTTCGCTGATTTGAGAACCTCTACAGAGACGGTACTAAGGTCAGCTTCAAAGTTCCTGCGAGCGCACTGCTCTGCCCAGACCCCAAGGTGAACCATTTGTTTGTATTTGGCTCCTCAGTTGTTCAGTGACCTTTTTTGCGAAGACCAATTTAGTATTTTAGTGGGGCAGCCACCAAAAAAAAAGGGGAAAAAGGGAGCCACTGAACAACTGAGGCTCACTTCCGTTTTGGTTGCCACTATGGTCCAAACCCAAAAAGTGACTAAAGTCCAGGAAAATAGAAAGTAGGTTTTGGTGGGCTACCCCGTTTTTGGTGGTCCACTCAAACAAGACACACCCAAATGGTTGACAAAAAGGGGAAAGAAAAACCGTCGATTCACTTTGGTGAAAGTGACTCTGTGTTTCCCCTTTCAAGGTGGGAAGATCCTAAACATGGTACACAAGGCACACCCTAGCCATCGCTTTTAAGGAACCTCCGCTTGAAGAACCCCGTTTTCTCAGCATCCTTCCAATTGGTGGTTAGGACTGGTAGTTTAGAGGTTAGGGGCGGTTTCCTATCTACCCTCTACAAGAAGCGGAGGTTCAAATCCAAACATCAAACCACACATGTTCGTATTCTTTCCGGAGTAACAACAGCTTGGCCGAAAGCCGCTTAGTTTCTGCCTGCCAAAAAGCGGGTGTGGTGCGTTGTGCTCTCCAGGGCCGCCTTGGCGACAGTATCTGGACCAAAGGTCCTGATACAAGGTGAACCTTTTGGGACCTTTACTACTGTGGATGGACGAAATCCATTTCGCACCACTATGAAACAATGGGAAACCATTGTTTGTTGGTATTTACAAGGGAATCATTATTCCAGGGATTTTTGAGTGGTGCAGGATTTTGTCCATCCACAGTAGGTGCTCCAGTAGAGAGGTTAGAATAAGTTGGTACCCAATTTTCTCTTTTTGGTCTATTTTAGTAGGGGAACCCTCCCCCAAAAAAGGGTAAACGCGGGGCACAAGGGCACTACTGGAAAACCTAGATTAACAAAGGTGGACCACACAGGGAAAACCAAAAGGTCAAAAGGTTGGTTTGGAACAACTGAGAGGGGTATTATATACCTTCCCATTTCCAGGATCCTTCTTTCTAGAAAACCTGGGCTGCATTTCACCCGTCCTTTTGGTGGTTCGGTTGGTGGTTGCAGGGGCATTCTTGGGTGATCGACCAACTTATTAAGTAGGTTTTTGGGCATGGTAAGGGGACCACCCCCAGTTACCCTAGTGACCAGGGTCATAACCTACTTACCTGACATTGGTTGAACATCCAGACGTTCAACCTGTCTGCAAACAACCCGAACCCTCCAAAATCCACCTTAAACATGGGCTAGTGCAACCCAACATGATGGCTGGTGAACTCTTTTTTTTGTGGGTAGTGTTGACCCAGGATTAAGAGACTCCTATTTATTTAAATTTCGGGGTGTCCCTGGGTTCAGTGGGGAATCATCACGTTTGGAGGGAATACCCCCCCTGTGAACAACAGGGGTTGATGAATATGGGGTCAACATTTCTATGGGTAGTTTGAGGGTGAATTCCCCTCCTACCCTCAAGCTACCTATTAAAAAAAGGGAACTCCAACAACTCACCCATTTTTCAGTTGGAATTTTGAGGGTTCGTGCACACTCGGTTGTTTTTAAACGGAAACCAAACGGCAACCCGGGTAACTGGACCAAAATTCCAACTCAAACATGGGTTAGTGCCGCAAAATCATAGGGTGCATTCCCGTTTGTTCTCTTTTTATGGGTAGCTTGAGGATTCTTTGCTGGCTCAGATCCCCCCTAAAACTTGAACTTTTCGTGGGTTGAATGGACCCCCCCACTAAACACTCCAAGGCTAAAAATATATTCAACCGGATGGCTGGGAGCAACCAGGGATTCAGCTAGTTTGGACCCCAAAGCTCTGGTTGAACCGGTTGGTGAGTTCCCTTTTTATGGCTAGCAACAAATTAAGTTTCAGCAGCTAAGTGGTTGGATTTCAACCACACCACAACAAGCCAAACATGTAAAATCAGCTTCCCAGCAACAACCATGGTTGGGACATTTGGGAAACCCCACATCACCCAAATACCAGCTGATTTTTCAGTTTCCCCTAGCCTTGGAGATTCGGTCAGCAAGTTCCGGTTGGTGAGTTCCCTTTATATGGGTAGCTTGACAAGGGATCCGGATGCATTATACACCTGAACCTTGCCTTGTAAATGGCGGTTTTTCGTCATTTTGGTGTTAAAAAAGCCATGTTTCAAATGGAAAAGCCACATTATATATATATATATATATATTTCGGAGCCCTGTTGTTAAGCTAAGGTATAACCCACCAAAGAAAGCCCAGAAGTCCTAAGGGATACCCTGCTCGAGGCTCCCGCACCTCGATGCCGTGCAGCACCCGGAAGTCCGTGACGGCGCGGCCGGCCTCCTCCACCGAGCCGCAGTCGTCGCAGACCACGTACCTCCCCCGGAAACGCGGCGTCGACTGGGTCCTCCAACAGAACAACCTAAAGACCAGCAAACAAAAAACACATATATATATATAGATAATATATATATATGTATATATTGAAAAAAAAGGCATGATCGCAGAACAGTGAAGATAACTCTATCTCGGCAAGAACCAATTTCTCTAGTGGTCCCTCAAGCCTTCCCCGAAACTTAGATCCCCAACTAGGTCCTTCAGTAGAGAGATTAGAATAAGGGTACCAACTTTCTTCTGTAGTCTATTTTTGTAGGGGAACCGGATCTCCCAACCAAAAGAGGGTGAGAAAGGGCACTACCGGGGTGCCTAGGCGTCGATGCGTCGATGCGTCGATGCGTCGGGGGTTTCTCGCTTTGAGGCCGCTGATTTGGAGTCGTTCTAACGCGTCCCATCCTGGTTCCAGAGAAGTTCAACTCCCTAGGCTGGAATTAGGACCCCAGCAAAAAAATATCATTTTTGCTGGCTCGTGGAAAACAAAGGGACCCCAAAAAAAGCAAAAAAGCAAAAAGGGTTTAAAAAGAACATGGTCCAAACCAGGACCCCTCGAAGGTCAAGTTTCGCGTGAAAACGGTTGGAGGGTAAACCTTTCGAGCATGCTTGTACACTACACGTTGCTGCTGTAAAACATAATACACCAGTTGCACCATCTAATATCCTGGCATATAATGTGTTTCAAGTCCATGAACTCAGGAACAAGGGTCCATCATTTTGAGAAGCCCCCGTTGCGCCGAAACGACTCTCTGCCTGAACATCGGGAAACCAATGGCAGATCTGCAAAGACGGCCCGCACACCCTGACCTTGAAAAAAACATGGGCGTGTCTTGTTCGGGAAAACCTCCCAAAATGGTGGTCGTCCTGTTGGGTGTGTCATTACAGCCACCCAAGAAACTCTGTACGAACTCCAAAAAAACGGCATGAGTCGAGCAGCTGGGATTTAAATCCAAATGCGCCACGGTCTCCCCAAACCTTTCGAGTCCGGGAACTCGAGTGGCTCCAATGGGTTTGTCTTTTTGAGGGTACCCTTCTTGGGGTTGGTCCAAGTGAAACCACGAGTTGAAACCACCTATTTTGGGGCTCTCCTATTTTGAGCCACCAGATATAAACACCTCGTAGTAGGAAAAGACAAATCGAAGATCTCGGACTCCAAATCGTTCCCCGCGGCCTTCCAGCCAAGTTGTGACAGCTTGCCAGATCCGAAACGGCTCGAGCCCGGCTGATGGAACCAAGCTGCCCGCCAAGCTCAACGAGGTCATACGTCTTGAAGAGGACGTCCAAGTATGAGGAGTACAGGTCCGCATCCAAGTGCAGAATGGCGATTTGTCCTAGTGGTTGAAATGGAATCAAATCTGTGGTACAACAAAAGGGGCCACTCAAAGACTAACGCCCAGCTTCGCGGTGCAACGATATCTGAATCTGAGCAGCTGAAATTTTGAACGCGCGTGGAATTTCATCGCTAGCTACGAGGGGTTTTGAAACTCCTCTGCTGAGGGTGAAACTTCCCGCCAAGGAGCCCAAGAGAAACCCAGTTCGAGAACGCAGGCTGGATCGGCTCAAATCAAAGCAGTCCGACGCTTTAGGGCGTCCACTAAGGGGGGGTGGCTGCCGTGGATTGGTGGTTGTTTCACAGGCACTCAGCACTCCCAGCGAGTTTCCCACTGAAAACGACCCACCATGACCCACCCACCAAGGCCAGCCCCAGGTTTCGAGACAAGTGCGGGAAGTTTGGCGCAGGGCTCATGCGTGAGAAGTGACAATTGCCAGCTGTGTGCGGAAACACAATCAGGGGCTCCCGATGGGCCCTGAAAGCCCCAGCCTCTAGGTCAACCTCATAGCGTAACTGCTCACCACAACAACTTCTAACCTGTAAACGGTGGTGGGCTGTGCTGGCACAATTGGGTGCCCAACTGCTTGAAAGAAGGCCCCACCCCCTCCCCCCCATGGGTTGCAGCCGAAGGGAATGTTGATCAAGCCCCAAATGTTGAAAGCACGAAGCCCCCTGCGTTTCTCCATGCCACCTGGGCCAAAAGAAAACGTCCCGAGCCACAAGCCACAAGTCAGGCCGAGACGCTGCCCTCTTCGAGCAAAACGTCACGGAGCTTTGCCATGGACTCGGAGAAGAAACCTGGGACCAAGTGGACCTTGGGGCAATCTGGTCGCGGATTCTGCCGCGGATTGATTGAACTGGGCCTATGGTTCAGTGGGGGCCAAAAGGATCCAACAATTGGGGCCTCTGTTCTGTGTGTGTTCTCATTTTGACAAAGACTTTTCAGAAGCATCATGAAGGCCGAGTTGTCCAACAAATTGAAATCACCAGTGGGGACCGTAGAGTCAGACAAACAAGTATGTTCATGGCTGTTCCTACAAACATGGTGTTTCACACGTGTCCCAACAAAACACAAAAATATCATGTGGTCAAAACAACACCAAAGACCACGCGGAAATAATCCCTGACTGGCTCTGTGGGGGGGGGGGGGGTGTAAGGGTCTAAAGTGTGTTGAACGCGCGGGGATGTGTTGCTGTTTTGGTGCCAGAATGCAGGCCTCATGGTGACCCCCTTCTTGAATGAAAAACATCAAACATATGGTAACGCACTGTTCCCTTATAAACGATGTGGGCTTGTCGTTCCCAACCTAGTAGGTACAAGTAGGTGCTAGGCTTCCTTGGGGAGCCTTAAGAACCCCCCCCATGACCACCCCCCCGAATGGGATTCCCTAAAACCACCCAAAAGAAGCTGACACTGGGCTCGTCACCTTCCACGGGTTTGATTGCAAGGCGTGGTGATGGCTTTTGGCACACCAAAGACTCGCGTCTTGACGTCTTCGAAAAAGACTCACTTCATGAGTGGATTGGCCAAACAAGTGTCCTGGGACTTTTTGAATTACCAGAAACATGGTCTTCCCCAAAACTTTCAAGTCCGGAAAACTCAGACTTCAAATTCAGGAAGATGAACAGGGACAATCTGTCCTAAGCTCTCCAACTACTGGAAATTATGGGTTGTCGCTGTAGCTTTCGGTTCTCTGTTCGGTCAGGTGAAATTTGTTCTTGAAAGTCATGTCAAAGGCTCCTTCCCTGGGTCTGTCTGTTGTCGGTGTCTTTACAGTGGTTTTGCATAAAGGGATGTGCATTTACACAATGAACAGCCCTAAGGATGGTCTGCATTGGAGGGGTCATGACCCTTAGGGAGGCGGTTCTTGTTTCCTTCCTGGCCAAAAACAGCCCACCTTGCAAGCCATCTGCGAAATGACGCCTCCCTGGCCGAGTGGACTGGCCAAAAGTCCAAGCTGTGTGTCTGCCACTAAAGCGGTCTTTCCTAAAAAACCTGAAAGTCCATGATATCAGGGAGTGAGGACTCAGGAAAATCAGGACCAAATCAGGAAAATCAGGAACTTAGGACTCAGGTGATTCTGAAGTCCATGAAACCCTAAAAGTGAAATCAGGGAGTGAGGACCAAACTGGGCTGCCCTCAGATCCCCCGCCAAAAGTGACTATTTTTTAGTGGATTGAATGGGAAACTACCACTAAAGAGTTTTCCTTTGATTCGGGGCGTCGAATTGAATCGGGGCGTCGTTGCGAGGCAGTAACAGGGGTTTATTTCAAAGGCATTTCACAGGTGTAAGGACTGGGTCAAACTTCCAAAAACATGGACTGTTGGAGGGGGTAGTTTGCTCACCCCAAGCCACACGCGGCCACCTCACGTACCCGTTGTAAACCCTGGGTGTACCCATTTTAAACCTTAAGGGTACCTGAGTCTGTTGCGGGTACTCCGCCCGACGCCCGCTGCGCTACGGGGGCATCCATCGCGGTCCGGCCAGGGCTCGGCTTTTGCTTTCCGCACGAGTCTCTCCATCGGAAGAGTTTTAACGTTTGGCCCATTGAAGGGCTTACCTTCAGAAAAAAAAACGCTCAGAAGGGAAACTCGCGTTGGCAACTTACGCAGCTTATGTGTTTAAAATATACGCTTCTAAGCCTCACGTTTTGGCAGAACATGAGCTACCAGTAAAAAGGTTCGTACTAGGGCTACGCGTTGGAGTTGACTTGGGTGAAAGACACGAGAAACGAAGGTGGCCATGCTAGTAAGAAACATAAGTATAGGTAAAAGGCGAGAGAATGATAACCCGGTCCAAACGGATCTTTGCACATCTTCAATACTGTGTAAAGGACCTTGGAAAGGTCCTGAGGCTTATCACGAACGGGCATGATTTTAGATAAGTGACTGACCCACCGAGATTCTCCAGAAGCGCAGTGGCCAAGCATGTGTAAGCTAGATTGCCCACACCCATTTCTGATAGACTTAGGGTTGAGTACGGGGCGAACTTGTTACACGTCGAAATGTGTGACGGTTCGCCGCGATATGTTTTCTGATGAACCTCGATGAGGTTCATCGGGAAATCTGGAACGGAAATGACTTGGGATCAACTGTCCAGGACACACCCGCTTAGGGGGGGCTTTCCTGTTTTGACACATTCCCATCTCTCATATATAGACTTAGGGTTGAAAACGTGGCGGACCTGTTATACTTCTAACGGTCCGCCGCGACAGTTGTCCCTCACAATTTCTGACTTCTCCACAGCAACGCTTTTGAGATGAGCCTCAGTGAGCCTCATCTGAAACCCATGCGGCAATCCCTGACCCCTCCGGCTCTGATCTCCCTATGGTACCCGGAGAAGTCAGAAATTGTGAGGGACAACTGTCGCGGCGGACCGTTAGAAGTATAACAGGTCCGCCCCGTTTTCAACCCTAAGTCTATATATGAGAGATGGGAATGTGTCAAAACAGGAAAGCCCCCCCTAAGCGGGTGTGTCCTGGACAGTTGATCCCAAGTCATTTCCGTTCCAGATTTCCCGATGAACCTCATCGAGGTTCATCAGAAAAACGTATCGCGGCGAACCGTCACAAATTTCGACGTGTAACAAGTTCGCCCCGTACTCAACCCTAAGTCTATCAGAAATGGGTGTGGGCAATTTAGCTTACACATGCTTGGCCATTGCGTTTCTGGTGAATCTCGGTGGGTCAGTCACTTATCTAAAATCATGCCCGTTCGTGATAAGCCTCAGGACCTTTCCAAGGTCCCTTACACAGTATTGAAGATGTGCAAAGATCCGTTTGGACCGGGTTATCATTCTCTCGCCTTTTACTTGTACTTATGTTTCTTACTAGCATGGCCACCTTCGTTTCTCGTGTCTTTCACCCAAGTCAACTCCAACGCGTAGCCCTAGTACGAACCTTTTTACTGGTAGCTCATGTTCTGCCAAAACGTGAGGCTTAGAAGCGTATATTTTAAACACAAAAGCTGCGTAAGTTGCCAACGCGAGTTTCCCTTCTGAGCGTTTTTTTTCTGAAGGTAAGCCCTTCAATGGGCCAAACGTTAAAACTCTTCCGATGGAGAGACTCGTGCGGAAAACAAAAGCCGAGCCCTGGCCGGACCGCGATGGATGCCCCCGTAGCGCAGCGGGCGTCGGGCGGAGTACCCGCAACAGACTCAGGTACCCTTAAGGTTTAAAATGGGTACTCCCAGGGTTTACAACGGGTACGTGAAGGTGGCCGCGTGTGGCTTGGGGTGAGCAAACTACCCCCTCCAACAGTCCATGTTTTTGGAAGTTTGACCCAGTCCTTACACCTGTGAAATGCCTTTGAAATAAACCCCTGTTACTGCCTCGCAACGACGCCCCGATTCAATTCGACGCCCCGAATCAAAGGACAAATCTTTCACTAAACACTGAAAGGCTGAAAAGCTAAGGGGATGACTGGGAGCCACCAAGTTAAACAATTGGGCTCCATGTGAGAATTTGCGGGAAATCCCCAGGACTCCATCCCTGCGCCAAAGAACGTCCTCATCCAGCAGCCCAAAGGCGGCAAAATTGCGAGCCACCTCCGCTTCACCTCAGAGCTTAAGCGGCAATCGCCACACATTTGTGTCCTTTTCTTGCTGGTGCTCAGAAGGGAATGAGAAATGGAATGAACCCAGGCTTTGGTCCCCTTAAAGGAAACCTTAGGAAATGGTTCATGGGAGTCATTCCCTCATTCCCTACCTATCGCACCAGCAAGTTGTTTGGGACGGGGTTTCCCCATTAATTAGCCGCCTGGGCAACCACCCACGAAAAGCCGCGGCTCCAGCTTCTTTTCAGGGCCCTCGGTTCATTTTTTGGGTGCTATGATCCATTTTGAAAATAAGGTCACTGAAAATATGCTGGCTAGCCCCGCTGAACGGGGCTTTTATTTGCGTGCGTTCTAAATGAGCGGATACCAACAACTTACTTGGCGAATCGGACACCTCTTGCGATTTGACGCCCATTGTTTTTTGAAACATGGGGAAGGCGGTGCCTAACCTCCAAACTACACACTGGGGGTGCTCCCCGTCAGCATGACAGAAGTCCCTTTCAGCAATGCATACTGGGTGCAGTGGCACCGCCACAACTGCCTTTAAAACAGTGGTAATCATGACATCTAGCCCCAGCCACAAAACCCTTAGGATAGATATAAAGTGTTTAAGAGACCAATGAGTTCTGGTCCTTGAACCGTGGAACAAAACCAGTCAACCGCAAAATCTGTCACAAATCCTGTCACCAGGTACTGGATCTTCATGCGTGTCCCCGGATCGGTTTTTGTTTCATTCAGGGATCCTTACATTATACACCTGAACATTGCCTTGCAAATGGTGGTTTCCCTGTATTTTGGTGGAAAAGGCCATGTTTCAAATGGAGATCTTTTAAGGAGCCCTGTTCATTCTGCGCCCGAAAGGCTGACGTGGAAGATGCTGGTGTCGTTGAGCATCTGCAGCGCGTCAGATGCATCGCCCGGGAAGCCCTGAAACGAGTCGCAGGCGTAGACCTGCGCTGCGCTCGGTCGAAAGTTCCGACGCCGAATTTGGCGAATCCGACCTCACGGACGGCTACTTGGATGTCCGGCCAGGTGTGGAAAGGCTACCAGGGTGAGAAAACCCAGGGGTGACCCCACACGGGGGACTTAGTGGGTTATAACCTGTTTTACCAACAACTTAACTGGGCAACAAAGTCCTAGCCATAGTCGGGACTTCGAAGTGGCTCACCGAACAGTTGCCGACAACTTAACTTGGCAACAAAAGATCCTAGTATGCATTTTCAGAGATTTGTTTTTCCTCTGTGTTTGGTGGTTTGTGGTTGGCTTCCAAATCCAAAACTGGGGTCTCAGAAGACATGGCTGTGAATTGTTGCCTGGCTTGGTGGACATAAATCCCCAGATGTCCTCCAAAAGGTCCTTCCCCAAATCGAAGCTATGGCTATGAAGAGTGAACTCATGGCTTCTGTAGCTGTTGTACACCCTTTTCTTGTTGACCCTTTCGGGTAGCCAAACGAATCGTTTGGGGCGGTTTCATCGCTCTATATCGGTCTCCCAGCCGAACCCGCAAATCTCGCTTCCGTGGCGACTCGGGGGGTGAGCTCCAGTTCCCTTGGCCCCATTCTGCCACTCATTTGCTACCCAATAGGTGAAAGGGAGACACCAGTTGAAGCAAGGCCTTCAACCTGAGTCCGGGAAGTCTGGCTCTTTTTGGGTGGAAGCTTTCATTCGCCCGATTTCTCCACCTTCGCGAGCTTGCATGTATGAGAATACAGAAGGCAAAACGGACGGACCCTCTGCTCACCTGCCGAGCTTGAGCCTTATAGGAAGCTTGCGAGGAAACCGCAACTCTCAAAACAACTTGGCACTTGCCACAAAAATGCCGACCCAAAAAGGCGGCCTTCAGTCCCCAACGAAACTCGCGCACGGTCACTGGATTTCCCCAAATCAAAGGTTGATCAATTGACTGGTGGCTTCCACTACAACACTCGCCACTTTTGGAGGTTCCAAACAAAGCGAGTGGCTCGGGAACCTGTCACAGTGCGCAAGCCTTTTGGTAGACACATTTAAAAAATGCTGGCTTTGCCTTTGGCTTCCTTCCGAACACACATCCCGGAGTGGGTACCGCATCCGACTCCGGAACTCCCGAACAGTCCTCAATGGAATTCTGCGGGTTTCCACCTAAATGAGAAAGCCAACCTTTGGGCGGTGAAAAGGGCCTCGGCCAACCGCGAGCGGCGACGAAACGGGAACTCGTCGCCTTCTTCTGGAGCTTGTAGCTATGAAAGTAGCCTCTCGCAAAGATCGAGGCGCCGCCCCGCCAGGTGCCGGCCTGCCTCGAACAAAAAGATATTTGCTGAGGGGAATTCTGACCACCCGATTATTTTTGTGGGGACTTGCTTGCCCTGTGTTGGCTGGTTTTGGGTTTTGGTGGTTTTGGTGGTTCTGGTGGTTTTGGTGGCAATTATTTGCCTTTTGGTCGGACATGTTGCCGTATTTCTAGCGGGAAACGGTTTCTTTGTGGTATGTGGTTTGTGATCTTGTGAGTGAAAGCTCGCTATTTGGTTGCGGGAAATGCGTTTTTGTGAGAAATTGTGGCTCGTAGAAACTTGGAATTTGGTAGTTGCGCCCCTCACGATTGCATTTGTTGTTGTCCCATCCCCAAAGCAACATTATGGGGTCGCCAGATTGGCTGGAATCCTATTCCAATTGGGAACACAGTGCTCTTCCGAACATGTGCATGGAACCCACACGTTTGATGAGTTTGCTTGGTTGACGTTGGAAGGGGAGAAACAAAAATACATTTTAGCAGTTAAGTGGGGATTTCCCACTAAACCACAATAAACCAAAAAGTAGAATGTTTCCCAACAACAACCCCGCTAGTCATGAACCTACGAGGGCAATGGGAAGGGGTGATAAGGCTCTTTCGAGGCACATGTGTTTGTGTGGTTTTCAGGCTACCTGTTGTTTGTGTGGTTTCAAGAGGAACCCAAAAGGAAACCCATCTTTTGTCCAATTCCAGTTTTGAGACACTCCCAATATGCTTCGCCCATCGGCTTACCCTCACAGCCATGCCCTGGGAGATGCCGAAAAGTAAAAAGCGGCAAGACGGGTTCTCAGACATTGGCACTCAAGGTGCCGACTGACAGTTGTTATCGGAAGTCACAAGCCCCAAACCGAACCCCTCCCCACACCAGATCCCCGCATTTTTCGGGCCAAGGGCACCCTGTCATTTCAATAGGAACCCCCTCCAAAGAAAAGGATACGCAACCGTGGGCCTTGTGCACGGATCGTTGGTGAACCCTTGGATCTCGTAGAGGGCAAATGGGCAGCCTGAAAAAGGTCCTTGGCCCACAAAACAGGGCAACACATGCTTTGTTTTTTCTTTTTCGTATTCACTCTACCCTAAAATATAGTGCCCTGTTTAACACATGGAACTAAAAAAACACATTTTGTTTATAATCCGAATCTCCTCTTGGGAATCGGCCCACCTTGGGGATTTTCATGCTAATTTGTGAGTAACATACACGAGTCCATTTCCCTAAGTAAGTAGGTAACCAGGAGCTTGCCACCCTAAAAACTGAAAGGACAGATCTTGGTCACCTATAAGTTGTTTCTATGGAGTACCAGCGATTCCATTTTGCTACATAGTAGGTAACCAAGGGCTTGCCACCCGATAAATAAATATATATATATATATATGGCTATGGGTCAAAATCCCGTATTTCCCAGTGAACATCCCAATCCCCACTAAAATAAACTAAAATGGGTGGTGCACCTACCCCACAGTGGTAACATTGGTGTTGACCCACGGCCATATATATATATATATATAAACCTAAAAGCTGGTTGGTGACCTACTCTACGTCCTCCAGTAGAGAGGATAGAATAAGTTGGTACCCACTTTTTCTTTTTGGTCTATTTTAGTAGGGGAGCCCGAAACCCCAAAAAACGGGCGAGAAAGGGCTCCGAGCTGGGGGACCTAGTACTATACGGGCTTGCACCTGGACTCTGGGATTGAGACGCCCGGGCGAGATCCAAGTGCCGTCCGGGCGCACAAAGTCGCCTCTGAGGCCCGCGGTCCGAACTCCGTCCAGCAGATCCCAGAGATCTCCTTGGCATTGGCCAATTGGATCCTTCGGATGTCTAAGTCCTCCACATGGACGAAATCCACCATCTAAGAAGCCCTGGTTTCTGAGTCGGTGGCTCCTGTAAATACTAACCAACGTTATGACTTCCACCATAGCTTTAGAGTCTAGGTCCTCCAGTGGAGAGAATAGAACAAGGGTACCAACTTTGTTATTGTTGTCTCTTTTAGTAGGGGAACCCTCCCCAAAAAAAGGTGAGAAAGGGCACTACTGGGGGACCTAGATGTTCTTGTTGAGTCTAAATCATTAGAATGGTGGGTTTGGGATGCCATTAGACTAAATTAAGCGGTGACCATGGGGAAATGATGCTAGTAGTTATTCAGCTCCTTGTATTCCCTTTGAAGTACATTCAAATCCCGCAGGAATAAGGATGCCAACGATGGTGGCTCCACTGTGGCTCCCCTTTAAACCAACCTAACAAAAGGTACCAGCGCAATTCAACACACACACATTGTATCTTGGCTGGAAATAGGACCCCAGCAAAAAATATATTGTTTGCCTGGTTAGTGGAAAACAAAGAAAACCCAAAAAAGCAAAAAAGGAAAAGGGGGAGCTAATTCTGGGGAAGGTCTGTACATATAATTATTCCCTAGGATGAATATTCTAGGGAGCAACTTCCGCATCCTGCCAAGCCTGGCTCAAAGAGAGGGATACCTAAAACTCACATCTTGACTGGCCAGAACAGTCCAAACGATTCACTAAATGGTCCAAATCAAACCTTCATGTGTCTGAAGCGAAACTTAGGGAGTTCTGATAATTTAGGAATTCGTTTAGGAAACAAACAGAAGATCTTAAGCTGGGCTGTTCCCCTAAGATCCCCTGCTCAAAGTCTGACTTGCGGCTTGCCGGAAACTACCACTCAACCCTAAAACCTAAAAACCTAAGGGGATGGCTGGGAACCACCAAAAAAACAAACAGAAGGTCCTCATCAACCAATAAAGGGTGAGAGAGAGGGCACCTAGCTGGACCTAGTGGTAACACGCATTGGAGAAGCTGTGGCCAGGCGGCGTAGGCGTCGAGAGCCCATCATCGTCAGGCATTCCGCACATGCCTCGAGCGGGATGTGAAACCCGGGGCGTGCCGTTGACGCCTTCGTGTTCTCCGGAACAGCGGGAAAGGAAACCAAAGGTGGGTCTGTCTTTTTTGAGGCTGCCAATTTTTTTGGTGGGTTTAGAGGGCAACCAAGAGGAAAACTACAGTTTTGGGTTGCTGCTGGAAAGGTGGAGCATTGGTACATGAAGTTGAACCTCGAGGTCTCAAGATCTGGCTCGCAACGAGCAACGTCTGGAAGAAATGAGCAAACTGATCAAATCCACCTGGAGTCTTTCTAACCCTTCAAACTTGGTTGACATTGGGAGGGGAGCAAAAAAAAACTTTAGCAGTTCAGTGGTTGGATTTCCGACTAAACCACAATAAGCAAAATTTAGTGTAAAAACTGTTTCTCAACAACAACCACGCAAACATGGGCTGCCAGGAGCCCTTTGGTCAAACAAGCCGCCCTTGCGGAATAGTGTGTTTCACTGCCTGCTGCAATTGAGCCTTTAAGACAAACCAGCAGATCAGAAAGGTACGAGCTCTAAACCCCAGTGGTCCAAACCCATTTGCTGCTTCGCCCCCTGGGAAAACAACACATACTTCCGGTAGCGAACAAAAATCCCGTTAAAACCAGCAGGACACAATAAAACATTTTCTTGAGCAAATGCAAGAACACCAACATGATAAGTGATGATAGTTGCACCCGGAATAAGTCAAACCGTTGTTTCAACCGTTTTGATTGGTTCTTTCAGCGTGAATTTAATAGGGGAGCCTTTGGTGGACATCATTTGGGGATTGACGTCACTCCCTTGTGAGGTGGCTTACAGAAATCAACCCCTCCCACGTTCTAGAAGCTTAGTCTCATAGGGTGCCCCAAATCGGCTCGCTCCCTTCGCCCCGTTGGCTTCCCTTTAAACCCACGCGCAACGGTACTTGGATGTTCGATTCGCCAGGTTAGTAAGTGGTTACCCCCCCAACATTCACGGGGGACTTGTACTTGTGGGCTATGAGTGAACAGTTCCTATCAGCCTACTAGCTTGGCGAATCGAACGCCCAAGTACCGGATTGGCCTAAAACGGTTACCTGGAGTCTCCATGACCCTCCAAAAATGGGGCCATGACCCCTTTATTTTGGGTAATGACCAACCATTTTTAAAGGGTCATGGAGACTCCAGCTATAACCATTCTTGTTATATACCGCCAAAATGGTCCAACCCCCAAAACTGACTTCTTGCGTGTTTTACTCAGGGTGACCCAGCCTGCTTTCACTCCAAAAAACCTCAGAAACTCCTCAGCTTGTAGCATTGCAGCCGCCCCACATCTCTGTACTGCTTTTGAGAAGGATATGGGCTGTGGCTCAAATAAAAAACAATCCAACATGGCTCCTTGGTTAATTTTTGAAGCACAAACGAAACCTGCGAAAAAGCCCAAGGCGCTGTATTATTAAGCCACACCCATATCTTGGTTGACGTCGGAAGTGGAGCAACTATTTTGAAATTTTAGCAGTTCAGTGGTTGAATTCAACCACTAAACCACAATAAGCAAACATGTAAAAACTGTTTCCCAACAACAACCACGAAAAGAAACAACAGCTTTCCTGCCTTCATTCTGGGAAAGTCTCGCAACCCATATGACTAAAGTCACACCCATATGACTAAACACTAACTCAGGCAGTGAGAGAACTGCGAACTTCCCCACTCCGACTTGCGGGGCCAGAGGGCAGTTCGGCCCCACTGCCGCTCCTCTGAGGTGGCGTCAAAGGACACGAACTCGGAAACCGGAAGTCCGACGCGGACTCGAAGGAATACGAGCGAATGAACAAATGAATCCAGGGGGTGGGTCGAAACCAGAAGGACTCCATAATAAGGGCCCCTTTTTAGGGATGGGTTTGAAAGGGAAACCACAAAAGGAAACCACCTAGTGGAATTGGTTGCCAAGTTAGCAAGCGGTCAGCAACGCGGGTTATGACCCACCTGGAGTCTCCATGACCCTTAAAAAATGGGGTCATTGCCCAGAATTAAGGGGTCATGGACCGTTTTTTTAAGGGTCATGGAGACTCCAGGCACTAACAATGTCCCCCGTTCAGTGGAGTTAACCCTGCGTTTTCAAAAACCCAGATTGCTGACCACTAACTTGGCCGAATATCATGGGCTGTTTAAAGCGGAGGTCTGATCCGTCTCTGTAATTGGCGATTTGCATTGGCGGTTTTCTTTGGTGTTCCGGGATGGATTCATTGGTTTAAATATCGTGCTTCATGGGCGGCTCGACCTTTTTCTTGTGGTCCCTAAAATCCCAGCTTTCTTTTCCCCAAACAGGGGTGCTCTCAAAAATGACGCACCCAGGTGGGTCCCAGCAAATATGGGTTCCCCATAGTCAGCCCCTTTTGTTTTCCGAGGAAACCCAACAAAGACATCATGGTGCCTATTAAGGAAACGCAAGGACTCCCTGTTTGCTATGAAAGGGTTGATTGTGCGCATGGGACTCGTCAATCAGCTTTTCTGTTTGTGATTTGGATTGGTGGTTTGGAGGTTGCCCATTTACCCACAAGAAACAGGGACCCATTGAAGTCCATTCCAAAATCTAAACCACCCATTTGGGGACCAGGTGGCGAGGTAGTCTGCCCAGGACCGCGCAGGTCATTTTATCTCACCTCCTCCCCCCTCGCCCCCATTCAGGGTATCCCTCCGCCGGCATGTTCCTCGCCCCCCAAAAACAACAACATGTCCAGCGGTGATAGATCCAAAACAAAAACAAGGGAATCCAACGAAACACAATAATGCCAGTAATAACAACTAGTGTTAATATGTATAATAATATGTGTAATCTCGGTTGCGTTCTGCTCCCCTGCTAAAAGCTTAACTTTTAGTGGTTTAATGGACAACCCAGTAGTTGGCAAAAAGTTAAAGTCCTAAAATCCAAGCAACATGCACCAAAGTAATAGTAATACTAATAATGAGACAGTCCTGGGCCCAATCGCCATGGCCTCTGGCCGCAAAAATCTACAACCGAAATGCCGGGGCCTTGTCGCTATCGAAGGAGATGGTGCGCGTTCGGAGCACCTCGCCTGAAAAAAATGCCCCCCTAGAGGCTTGAGAAGTTCATAGCCCGTAGCCCGTCAGATGGATGGGAGGTCTCATAGGGAATCCCTCTGTGGCTCAAAGAACCGGAATTCCAAAATGGGTTGCCCTGGTAAGTGGAAACTTGGACCAAAACCTGCGGCTTGCCCCTGCTGTTTAATTTTGAGCCACATCCCTCTCGTGGATGGTTTGAATGGGAAACCACAAGGAAACCAACCACTTGGAGGAATTGGTCCCGAATTCTGAGACACACCCGGCTTTTCTGAGCATAGCCCTCTCCTGAGGCCTATACCCCTTAGCCGAGGAACCGGTGAGGATGGGCCTGTCTGGGCTTTTTGCTCCCCTTCCCGAAGAAAAAACCCAACGGAAAACATCACCCATCCTTGGTTGACGATGGTGGGGATTTCCCGCTAAACCACAATAAGCAAAAATGCAAAATGTTTCCCAACAACAACCATGCGTCAGGACACCGCACCTCACACAAAAGGTGATCTTTGAAAGAACCAATCGCTTCCGATCAAGTGGAAGGGCCAAAAACAACCACCGAACTTTTCAATTACCGCTACCCTACGGGTCCCGTCTGTTTTTGGGCCCTCCAAATGGGTTGTTGTTGAGGGCCCTTGAGGAATTGGTCCGGGTTCTCCATTGGAGGATCCGGGGGTCTGGAGGGGTCATGACCCTTAGGGTAAGTGTTGTTCCCAAAAAGCTTAAAGTCCAGGATCTCAGGACGTCTTTACCAACACTTGCTCCACAAGTAAGTATACACAAACCATAGGTCTGACAGAGACTCCCAGGTATTGGTCAACATAAACACAGAAGTATCCCAGAACCCCATTGTACCCCCGATTCGCCAAAACATGCCAAAACCGAGTAGGTTCTTGATTCTGGCTCAATTGGGGTCATAGGGCCTGTGCCAAGCCTGAACCATGTTAGTAGACTCAGTTTTCTGACTTGAATGCCCAGAAAGCATGCAAATTAGTGACCCGGCAAAACCTGAAGCTGTTCGAGGTCTCTTTGGTTGGTCAGAAAGGCCTGCCAGGAAAAAAAACAACAAAACAAACTGAAGATTGCCATCAAATAATAACCCCTCCAAAAAACGGGAACAAACAACTGAAGTTCGCCATGAAACCGATAAACAAAAAGAAGAACAACCGGGGGCATGGGCTGCCGTGCCGCGCGCCCACGGCCGCGTGTCCCATTTGATTTCACGGGCGAAACAAATCTGGGCTGCCCTGAAATGCCCTGCGAAAAGTGGGCCTAACTTTTGGTGGGTTAAATGGAAGCTACCGCCAAACCCAATAAACCTAAAGAGCTAAGGAACCGGATGGCTGGGAGCCAGCGAGAAATTTGATCACAACAACCAGGGGGTTTATTGACCCTTGGCTCCCGTTCTCCCGTTTGATTTTAAGGAAATCGTTGAAAGAACACTTTGAAGTGGCTGTTGTTGTCAAAAGTCGGGTAACCCAAAAATGGCGCAATCCCTGGCAAATGGACACATGGCTTCTAACTCCTGCGGTCGATATCCGGTTGAGTTTTGACTGTTGCTCACATGAGTCATCATCAAAACTGATCAGTACAAAAATGGTGAACCCAAAACCATGGTAAAGACTTCTTAGAGCGGCCGCACCCCGAATTCTGGATAGGATTGTCCCTTACTACCCTCCAATCACCGGGCGTTGATTGTGACTCACGTAAGCAGACATGCGTCATGGTTCCCTCATAAATACATATATATATATATATGTATGTATACATATATATATATAGTATTCAAGCTTCAGTGGAGTATCTCCGAGTATCAACCACCTTGCCGGACAAACAAACAACACAACACCCAACCTCGTGTTTTTTTTGTTCGGCACTCGCCGTCCGTGTTCTCGGCACTTTTCACGCGGCATGCGGCCTGTGAGTGTGCCCACCAGCGTCTGCAAGTACAGCTCTTCCAACGGCAGGATCTCTGCAGCCTGAGCGATAGGGACACTACCCCGAAACCCCGAAGCCGAAAGGAGCCAATGGGATGTGCAACGATTTTTTGAACCACCACCCCATACCAACAACTGCTGACCTTCAAGGTTTTGACTATATCCTGGTTGACATTGGAAGGGGAGCAACAATTCTCAAATTTTAGCAGTTCAGTGGTTGAAATTCCCCCCACTAAACCACAATAAGCAAAAATGAAAAATGTGTCCCAACAACAACCATGATACTGTGGATGGCCGAAATCCTACACCACCAAAGAAACCCTGGAATGATGTTCCCCCTGCAAATACCAGCAAACAACGGTTTCCCATGGATGAAAGTGGTGCAGGATTTGGTCCATCCACAGTATCATGGTAGTATATACAGTATAGTTTTATACCTCACTTGCCCCCAAGTCCCGGTTGTGGGAACCATCTTGGGGTAAGCTGCGGGGCCACCGTTTCGAGCGCCTGCATGGCGTACATGCGAAGGGCATTGCACACAAGCTTTGCAGCACCAATGCCTCGTGGTTGTGCTGTGCAACGAATGGCAGCCCAGAACCATTGACACAGTCGTTTTGTTTTCCTGCTAAAGGAGCCCCCTTTGCAAGGAATTTGGCTCTGTTTCCCCTGCAAGCCATCCGAAGCGATTTGGTGAAAGCCACCCAGGACAACTGAGAACACTAGAGAACACTTCAGGTTCTCAAAACAAAATAATCACGAAGGCAACCGGTGGAAGCGGTCAAGGGTCCCTTTTCCCATTGCGCATCATACCTCAAACAAAAGTCATGGACAGCCCCACGGGCGGTAGTTCAATCAGTTTAAAGCGGAGATAAAGCCAAACATCCTTGGCAGAGAGGTGCTAGCAGCAAAAGCCCTTGGATGTTCAACCCACGTCGGGTTGAAAGTTTTTGAGTTCGTTGCAATCAAGTTTTTCATCTGGCTCAGGACAGGGGTCAGCTCTTTTTATATCCAACATATCCGTGGCCCCACTTGCAACTATCTCGAGGGTACTTTGGTGTTCGATTCGCCAAGATGGTTGTCGGCAAGTTGGTCACACAGGTATTACCCACTGACAAGCCCCCGTAAGTGGGGTACCCCTGTTATTAGTGGGCCATAGTATAGCCCAAGTGGAGAACCACTTAATTATATACTGGCTGAACAATACGAGATGAACCACGAAATGTCCAAATTCTTCAGTGACCCAGGAAGCAAACGAGGACTCTTTTCGGGGTGCATCTTGAGCATAAACAGAAAGGGCAAAAGGGCAGCACCAAACTCACTTGCTGAGTTGACTGGATTATATCTCACCAACACTAATGACTGGGTTAACCCCACTTGAGGAGTTTTATAAGTGGGCTAGAACCCAGGTCACTGACAACTTTCTAACTTGGCCGAACACCCAAGATGCCAAAAAACAACTTTATGTTTGCCACTGGAATGATCGTCCAAAATGTCTAAAGTTCAGGAACTCAGCGAGTTGACAACTGGGATCTTGTACTAAAACGTTCACACCTACAAGTCCAACAAACATACAGCGAAAAGGTCGAAGATCCATAAAGCTGCTGACACGGGGTTGTCAGTTGGTTCCCACTTGTCTTTTAATAGAGAACCAATGTTCTTGTTTGGTTTTAGAAAGAGGCCAAAAGGAAAACCCGTAGTTTGTGGGGTTCCCTTCTGTGGATGGACGCACCGTTCAGAACCCTGGAATGATGATTCCCCTGTCAATACCAAGTTACGTTATGGTTTCAACCATGGTTTCTGAACGGTGGTGTAGCTCAGTTGCCCAGTGGCCATGGGAAACAAAGGGCATCCTTTTTGGGTTGGTTGAGTTTAAAGGAATCGGAACCCTTCCCCAAAAAAAGTTGAAAAAGGGGGGCGGAGTCCACAGGGCAACTGGTGTAGGATTTTGTTCATCCACGCTTAGGTCCTCCAGTAGAGAGGTTAGAATAAGGGTACCCTTTTTCTGTTGTCCATTTTAGAAAGGGCACTACTGGGGGACCTAGACAGTAAGTTTGACCCCAGCCCAATTCCACCCAGACGCCGACAGGCACGCCCAGCTTGCCCAGCTTGCCCAGTGCGCCCACGCCATGCCAGCCAGGCGATGGCGTCGCGCATGGTCGCAGGTGACCGCTGGGTGTTGGGCGTTGCAAGCCCCAAGCGACCCCCAGGCAAAGACTTGTTGATATGATCGATTTCTGCGAATTGTTCAAGTCTACAGATTTTCCAGTGGAACTGTGGAACCCAAAAACCAGTACAGGAAGCACCTACTAAAAGGGGCCCAGAATGTGGCTAGTTGGTCGCTGGTTGGTGTTTAGTGAGGAAGCAGTTGTTGTCCAATGCCTCTACTTCTACGCTAGTTCATGGAAGAGCCCTGTTCCAAGAAGTCCGCAAAGGTCAAAGCAGGGAGCAACCAAAACCTTGCTCAACATCTAGAACTGTTTCTTTTTTCTGCATCGGATGAAAACAAAGATATTCTGACGTGAGGAAGGGTGGGCGGAACTGCCGGATCTGGTATGCGGTTCACCTACCAAGTGTGTATCTGTCTGGCTGTGCGTGTGAGTGTGTGTGTGTGTGTGTTAGGTGGTTGGGTATGCAGAAATCTACCATTCAGGGCCCGAGATCTCGATTGCTCAGAACCCGATTGCCGCGTTGCCGCGCACCACAAGTTGCTTCCAGGAAATGTTCAATTGACATCTTCAGAGCAATTAATTCCCAGTTCCCGGGTCGAGCAGAGCAAATCGCGCTCTAATGCAAACATGGCGAGGTGATTCGCTCCCGAAACAGCTTGAGCCTCTGAGCCTCGAGTCTCCAGGCAGAGGTACCAATGCGGCCACATGCAAGAGCAAGCTCTCTCCTGCGAGGCCTCTCTCCAAATCTTGGCTGACGTTGGAATGGGAGCAAAAATTATCAAATCTTGGCAGTTCAGTGGTTGGATTTCAACCACTAAACCACAATAAGCAAAAATGTTCAAAAAAAATGTTTCCCAACAACAAGCACGACATTTGAAGCCCTTTCTCCAAATGAACTCGGTCACAACATGTTTTTGCAACCCAAAACGCACCTGGAACCTTGAAGGCAGAGAATCCACAAGCGATATCCAAAGAAGCCTCCTGGTTGATCCACGCTGAACAGCGCGCACCGAAAACAGGCGCAAAATTCCTCTAGCCGAGCTATTGGTGTGTACAGCACCAACAAGTGAAGAAAGACCATGAACAATCAAAGAATCGGGATAGAGCTGGCACCTGTGTTACACACGGGTGCTTCCTCTCTTTCCCGCGAACGATCAGGACTGACAACCAGTTTGAACAGATCACAGTCGATCTAGGTGACGAAACAGTCCGAAGCGTGTGGATAGTTGTGCGTTGCTCTTGAAACGTGCGTCTTCGTTCTATGCACACGGAGAAACAACAACACCACACCTCAGACTCATCTCGTGAAACAAATTATTGATCAACACTATCACTACTACTTAGCTGGTCGAAATGTAGCAAGGCTAACAGACCCTAATAGTTGATCCTTCCGATACCACCACGAAATGGGGCCAAATGCTTTCAAAATCATAAGGACTCGTCTTGAGGATTGCCCTTCGGATAGACCAGCAAAAGCTTTTGTATAGTTCGTTTCCGGCCGCCGCCAAATAAACACTACAACCATCCTCTTTCCAACAGTCGTAAAGCTGACGATCGGAAGGTTTCCGGCAAGTACTTTCCGCTTTGGGAAACTCACAGTCCAGTTCCATTGTTGAAAGGAGGGCAAACATTTGCAGTTGTGAATTTTAAACGAGCCAGTTAGTACCCCAGTTGCCAGCAAAAAAGGATCCCTCGGACTTGACAATGTGAGGCTTGACCATGTCCAGGGTGTGGAACCCAAGCAAGAAGGGGCTGAGGCTGAAACTCGGGGTCCTCTTGCCTTGGTTCAAGCATATTCAAGCCGCTCTCCAACATTGCGGGCATGATTCCTTCATGACTTGCTATTTCAAACATATCCCACAATCCCACTCCAACTATCTCACTTCCTGAGCGGATTCTCCAGAAACAAGTCTGAACGTTTTGTTTGCCTTAAAACGGTCTTCCCGGAAAGCATGAGTTTCTTGTCCAAATGACAAGAAATCCAAGAAGAAAGACGGACAAAACTTGCTGTGTCGCGCTCAACCAATCTTCTCCCGCCGCTGTTGATTGGACGTCGTTGGAAATAAAATGTGAGTAGAGTTCAGAATAGGGAGTGAGTTCTTGAACAGCCGTATACGACCGGTCCCTCGACTCCTCTTCTTCGGAGGACGCAGCAGCTGTTGGGCCGCAAAGGCCACTCCCACCTAAGCACGTGTAAGCCCCAAGGGCGGTTTGAGGGCTCAGAAAATGGGGGCTGATCAACATTCCAGTTAGGGCCCCCAGCTTTGATCAAGGGTAACTTTTCCCAATGGGATCTTGCTCCCGTAGTGGTGTTCCTACCAGTCATGAATCTCCTCTTGGTACCCTTCCTCAGTCTGGCCCTATGTAGGGGGTAAAGCCTCAACAAGCAAGCTATTTTGAGAGTCAGTGACAAGTTAGATAGACCCAGCGAGCGAGAACTGAAGAGTTAGAGAGAGGGAGTAACCTTGATGGTGTGATAGGTAGGGAATGACCGTTCCTGGTGTTGGGATTGAACCGGATCGGGATTCCCTCAAAGGAAACCGTAGACGGTGGGATGTTGTTTTTCTTTTCTCAGTGTCATGGGGTTGCCTCTTGCCACACCTACATGCCGCTATCACTGCGGAGCAAGCTACATGTTCAACATGCCTGCCACCAAAGGGAAATGATTCCATTCCATGCAAGAAAGACGGTCAACAGACTCCACATGCGAACTTTGGCACTGTCAAGGGCTGAATGCGTCATGTGCAAAGATTAGTACTACTACAGTGCTGTGGATGGGCAGAATCCTGCATCAGTTGGTAGCTGGCTTCTCCCAGTACTGAAATCGGGTTTCATCCAAGTGCTTCTTTCTTCGGTTCCCAATCTGGCCTCAACTTCCAGGATCTGCCAAAGCCGGAAGCATCATTTCCCTCTTTGGCGAGGAGTCGGCGGATCTGTTGTTCAGTGAGCACGCCACCCTTGAATAGGCCTGCCATGGCTGCGTCTCGGCCGTCTCGGCCGTCTCGGTGCCAAAACATGCGAACCTGCCCCCCTTGCCGCCCCCCCCCCCAAAGAGGGGAGGCCTTTGTGAAGGGAATGGGACTCTTCAGGCTGGTGCCAGTGGCCTTCAGACCCTCCCGAGCACCTTCCATTGCCAGCTAAACCAGGTTTTCTTGGACTCAGTGCCACAAAAGAACACACACACACAAAGAAAAGAGAGCAACGAAAACACCCCACTACCCCGTTCCCCCCAAAAAAAAAACAATGACAACAATAAGAGCTCTTAAAAAGAAGGGTGGTTTCTCCGCAAATCAAAGTGGTCGCCCTGCGGCCGTAAAAGGCCTCGACGTCACCCGGCCATCTGCGGCACGTGGCTCGGCCCCGGGCGCTGCGGGCCAAGTCGAGGTGCGCGTCCCGCGCCGTCTTCTCCACACGAGCCTCGAAGCCCAATCCCAGATCCGAGGAGGGGAAAATGAATAACCGGAGTCTCCATGACCCTTCAAACATAAAGGGGTCATGGCCCCATGTTTGAAGGGTCATGGCGACTCCAGGTATACTGTTGAAAAAAACGACCAATTAAAACCATCAAAGAGTTGCCAGCAACTCAGGGAGCGAGAAAAGGGAAACCAGTAGCGAATGAGGGAATGAGCCCAGGGGGCCCCTGAAAGGAAACCAGAAGGGATGGTTTGTAGGTTCTCCAGTAGAGAGCTTAGAAGAAGGGTACCCTTTTTTCTGTAGTCTGTTTTAGTAGGGGAACCCTCCCCCAGAAAATATCGCAACAGCTTGGTTGACGTTGGAAGGGGAGCAACAATTCAAGTTTTAGCAGTCAAGTGGGGATTTCCCACTAAAGCACAATAAGCAAAAATGTAACATGTTTCCCAACAACAACCGTGAATATACTGTGAACGGACGAAATCCGTTCGCACCACTTTGAAACCTTGGGGAACCATTGTTGGTTGGTATTTACAGGGGAATCATCAGAAACCAACTTGCAGGATTTCGTCCATCCACAGTATCTCCAGAAGTTCCTGTTGGAGGTAAAAACACGGTCGGATGATAAAGGTAACCAGACGTCTTCCTCTTGCATGTCAAACACAATATAGGCAACCAACAATTTTCCTGGATGTTAAAGTGTGGCTCCCTCGGTTGTAGGTCAATGGAATCACTGGGTGTTGAAAAGGGGCACCAAGAGGAAGCCCAGTTTTGAGACAGACCAACAGGCATTCACCAAGAACTACCAAAAGATGCTGCCAGAAGGGACGCAAAAAGGGGATGGTACTTTTTATTGGACCCCCTTTGGTTGTATTGCAGGGGTCTCTAAAAGGAAACCAAATACGAAATGATCAGTTTTCCTGACTTCATTCTGGGAAAATCTCGCAACACAACCTTCAATTGCTGTTTCACTATGCACGGAAGGAAAGCGGCAGCTATCAAAAAGGTGAGGCAGTGCCACGCGCCGGGATCTTGTTCCTGGCAAAGTGGCGCGCGCAAAGCCGTGCATCCTCAGGGTCGAGCAGGCTCAACAACTCAAACTTCTTGCCCAACAAATACGCGGTCTCATCTCCCTGATACCTGCGAGCAAACTCGAGGGACGATTCCTCTGCTTCATTCAGGTTGTGCTTGCACAAATCTTTGACGATGCGGAAGGTCGCATCCTCGGAGTGGGCAGCCATGCGCTACAAAGATCGGCAGCGAAAGCAAGCGGAAGCTTGCTTGACGTTGGGCTTGAGGATCGAAAAATCTGAAATTTTAGCAGGAAAGTGGTTGGATTTCCACCACTAAACCACAATAAGCAAAAACAAAATGTTTCCCAACAACAACCATGGAAGGCTGCTGGTTTGCTCAAGTCTCCGCATGCCTCACCTTGACAGCTCAATAACATTGTAGCGTCATATCTCGTCCGATTGATAAACGCAGCACAACAAAACCGAGCAAATATGGGTTGAGGAACAACAGGCTCCCATATGAAGCAAATGCAAAG